AAATCTAGGGAATTCAATGAGGTGACAAAGATGCTCAGAAACCAACCAGGAATCAATAAGAACAGACACTCAGAGTTTAACACTGGGAAGCCCCTATCCTATCCTAGGGAGGAAAGGAGGTGGTTTCCCTGAGCCACCTGTGCAGAACCTAGAAGCACAGAAGAGGCGTCCAATAGGAGGCAGGAACATAGAAGTAAGGTAGCTGTTGCTAGAGGTGCAACCTCAAGTCCACAGGGCTTAAAACTACCCTGCCTTCTCCCTCTCTCCCATCCTCCAGCTTTCTATCCCTGTCTCCCATGGACAATACCCACCTTAAATCCTGGAGCCTGGTTTTGCAAAAAAGGTACATTTTATGTTTCTTCTCAGATTCTCAGCCTCAGCTTCACACATCTCTCAGGGTGTTAACCCCTGGTCTTGCACCGTTGTTCCTGCAATGATCACCTACAGCTGAGGCTGTGTGTGAGGTGCACTAAGGCGTTAGCACTCAGGTGCACTGAGGGACATCCCCATTACAGCTGTCCCATCTCTGTACAATTCCTCCATCTTATGACCTTTGTACTAGGTAAAGTTTAGGAGGTCATTAGTGAGACTTAGCCCCTTAGCTTCAGACAATGATTAGTGACAAAGCATCTTAACTTGGCCTTTACAAACTTTTTAGGTCTCATATAGGTCAAGATCTATGTGTGACAACAGGATTAAAAGCTTTCAGTTAAGGGGTGCCCGGGTGGTTCAGTCAGTTAATGGTCTGACTTTGGCTCAGGTCATGAATGCAGTGTCCTGGGGTGGAGTCCTGTGTCAAGCTCTGCTCTAAGCAGAGAATCTGCTTCTCCTTCTCCCTCTGCCCCTCCCCCGGCTCGTGCTCTTTCTTTCTTTCTTTCTTTCTCTCTCTCAAATAAGTAAATAAATAAAAATGCTTTCACTGAAGAAGGCAAGAAAATAAAAGCAGTCATACTCAAAATAAGTAGAAGAGAGAACATAATAAAAAGAGGTAAAGACAAACATAACACAATAAAAAAGATAAAAGATGAAATAAGTAAGATGAAAAATGGACAAACATAAATAAATCAATGAAGCAAAAATCTGGTTCTTCACAAGATAAGTAAAATTGATAATCTCTAACTAGACTCATCAAAATAGAAGAACACAAATACAACAACATCGGAAACAAACAATATCATGGAAAAAAATGACAGGGTTATAAGTCCTATAAACAGTAAACAGATAATTGGAGAATATTATTGTTATGGATTCAATTATATCCTCTGAAAAGATATGCTAAGTCCTAACCCCTGCACCTGTGAATATGACCCTTTTGGAAATAAGGTCTCCGTAGATGCAGTCGAGTTGAGATGAGGCCATTAGAGGTGAGCTCTAATCCAATATGGGTGGCACCCTTATATGAAGAGGAAACTGTATGCAAAGACAGAGACACACATAAAGGATGCCATGTGATAACAGAGGCAGAAAGTGAGATATGCAACTGCAAGCCAAGTAATGCCATGAAGCAATGGCCAAAGTGAAAAGCCAGGAAGAAGCAAAGAAAGATTCCACCCAAGTCTGAGGAAGCATACTGACACTTTGGTTTGGACTTCTGTCTGCCGGAACAGTGAGAGAATAAATTGTGATGGCTTTAAGCTGGTAAATTTGTGGTACTTTGTTATGGCAACCCTAGGAAATTAATACAACTGTGAAAAACACTAAAACTATACCTTTAACAATTTAGGCAAAATCAACAAATTCCTCAAAAGATAATCAAAATTGACAGGAAACAGAATGTCTAAAGAGCCTCTATTAAAGAAATGGTAACCCTAATGAAACAGACTCTCCCAAAGAAAACTTCAGACACAAATTCTTTCTCTAGTACATTTGAGGAAACACTTCAGGAGTGAAAATTCAAATGCTACCCCACAAAATGGACAGATATTCAGAAAGATCCCAAATGAATACATAAAGCCAGTATTTCTCCAATACCATAAACAGAAAAAGATACTTAAACAAATTAGGGACACCTGGGTGGCTCAGCTAAGCATCCAACTCATGATTTCAGCTCAGGACATGATCTCTGAGTCATGAGATGGGGCCTGCCTTGGGCTGCTGGCTCAGCAGGAACTCTGTCTCTGTCCATTATCCTCTCCCTCTGCCCCTCTCCCAGCTCACATGTGCTCTCTCTCATAAATAAATAATTTTTTAAAATAAATTAATTAATTAAATATCCACCATGAACCTTAGTACACAATTTTTAACAAAATATTACAGAAGCAAATCTATCAACTTATAAAAAATGATAATAAATACAACATGATCACATGGGAATTACCCAAGGAGTACAAGTTTTGTTTAACACTAAAAAATCATAATGCCATCTATCATATTAATGAATATAAGAGAATATCTATATAAACGTCTCAAGAGATACAGAAAATTTATATAACAAAATTTAATTTTCACTCATGGTAAAAGTCTCAATCAACAGGAATAGAAGGGAATTTCCTCAACATGATAGATCTCCAAAAACCTGCAGAAGACCTCACATTTGAGTGGAAAAACTAACTACCTTTTTTTTGGTAACACAGGAAACAAGACAAGGATGACTCCTATCACTCTCTTCAACATTGTACCAGAGGCCCTAAGCAGTACAATAAAGCAAGAGGAAAAAATGAAGAAAAGGAAGTAAATCTTTCTATATCTTTTTTTTTTTTTAAGATTTCATTTACTTATTTATTTATTTGGGAACACTTACAACTCCATAAGAAGACAGACAAACCCAGTTTTAAAAAAGATTGAACAGGGGTGCCTGGGTGGCTCAGCTGGTTAAGCATCTTCCTTCAGCTCAGGTCAAGATCCGCAGGTCCTGGAGTCCTGGATTCAAGCCCTGTGTTGGACTCCCTGCTCAGTGGGGAGCCTGCTTCTGCTTCTCCCCCTGCGTGTGCTCTCTCACTCTTTCTATCTCTGTAAAATAAATAAAATCTTCTTTAAAAAAATAAAATAAAAAGTAAAAAAGACTGAATGGACACTTCAATGGGCAAAAAAACTAAACAGACACTTCTCAAAAGAAGATACACAAATGGCCAATAAACACAGGAGAAGGTGCTCAATGTTATTACTTTCCAGGAAAATGCAAACCTAAAAAACAATGAGATACCACTACACACACACCATAATGGCTAAGTTTTAATAAACAGACAATATCAAGTACTGGCAATGATACAGAGCAACTAAAACCCTCCTATGTTGCTACCAGGAATGCAAAATGTTGCAACCGCTCTGGAAAACAAACTAGAAGTTTCTAATCAAATTAAACATGCACTTACTTTAGGACTCAGCTAGCAAATTCCTAGGTATTTAATAAACAAAGAGAAATGAAAACACCTGTCCACACAGAAACCTGCATGTAAGTACTGATGACAGGTTTTTTCACAATGGCCGAAAATAGGGAAGACATGAAATGTCCACAGGTGGATGAACAAATTGTGGTATATCAGTACAATGGGATACAACTCAGCAACATAAGGGACAAACTACTGACACATGAAAGAATACAGATTAATTTCAAAAACATGCTGAGCAAAAGAAGTCAGATACCAAAGAGCCCATGATTATGAAATTCCAGAAGAGGCAAAACCAATTCATAGTGACAGAAAGTGTAACACTGGTTGTCTGGGGCCAGGTGGATAGTGAGGGGGAAGAAAGGAGCTTTTACAGGTAATAGAAATGTCCTATATCTTTGACCTAATGGTGTTTCAGAAATGTATACATTTGCTAAAAACCCACTGACCTCAAGACTTACAACGTGTGCGTTTTATTGCATGAAAGAATTACTAAATAAAGTTGATTTTTAAAATGTCGAGGTCAGGAGGCACCTGGGTGGCTCAGCCCATTAAGTGGCCAACTCTTGGTTTTGGTTCAGTATCCTGAGATGGAGCCCGGGGTAGGGTTCTGCCCTCAGCATGGAGTCTGGTTAAGATTCTCTCTCCTCAACCTCTGCCCCTCCCACCTCTCACACTTTCTCTAAATAAATAAATAAATAAATAAGTACTTATAAAGTAAAACAAAACAAAATGTCAAGGTCAAGACAAAGGAACCTGAGGAATTCTCTGAGATTAAAAAAGACGAAAGTGACATCACAACTAAATGTATCCCATGATCCTGCACATTATCAGGACAGTTGACAAAATCTGAATACAGGTTATAGACAAAATAACAGTACTCTGGGCGCCTGGGCGGCACAGTGGGTTAAGCCTTTGCCTTTAGCTCAGGTCATGATCTCAGGGTCCTGGGATCAAGCCCCACATCTTCTCCCTCTCTCTCTCTGCTTCTCTGCCAGCTTGTGATCTCTGTCTCTGTCAAATAAATAAATAAAATATTTTTTAAAAAATCACAGTACTCTATCAATGCTAAATATCCTGATTTTAATAATTCCACCATGGTTATACAAGACAAAGTATTTGTTCTTATAAAATATTTAGACAAAGGGACATAAAATCCACAATTAATTATCAAATGGAACGGCAAGGGAGTAGGGGAGAGAGAACTGTAAAGCACAGAAAGAACAAAATATTAACAAATAGTAACTATGTGCAGAGGTTATATGAGAGTTTTTATACTATTGTTTCAACTACTAAGGAGGAATGAAATTATAGCAAAGTAAAAAACATTTTAATGCAAGATGATTATCTAGATGGGGGAAGGGAGGCAAAATAACTATTTTTTAATTCTTAATTGTGCCATCTCTCAAACCTGGAGGGTACTGAAATTATTTATCCAATTTATCCTATTAATAAGGAAAAGACCCAGGCTATTAATAAGAAAAAGAACAGGCTACCAGAGTTGTCTAAGTGGTTCTATGGGTGGTTTAGGGAAAGAGAAAGGGAATTTCTCAGGGCCATTAAAGAGAGGGGAAACCTCTCCAAAGATAAAAGCATGCACTCTCCCTCAAGAAGACAGATGGCATCTAATCTCTTAAATCATAGTCCAAAAGAACATTTCCTTCCTTTCCCTACTCATCTCGGTTTCCCCAGTAAATTCTTACTAGCAAAAACATTAGTTTGTAAGTATTCACAAATTATCACAGAAACAAACAAACAAACAAACAAATGACAGGTTCCATTGTACCTTTTCTTCTTGTACCTATCGAAGCAGGCAGAGAAAACATCATCAATTCTCTCCTCACAGATACAACTGTAGGTCTTAGAGCACTCAATAGTTGCTGTTCTTGTTGAGCTTAAAAACGCACATTGTCCTCTTCCAGAAGAATTCATGAATGTATAGTTACTGTAGAATAGAAAACACACAGGTTCAGCTGTTTAGGGATGTCTGGGTGACTCAGTCAGTTAAGCGTGCACCCTCGGCTCAGGTGTGATAGGTTCCCTGCTCAGTGGACAGCCTGCTTCTCTCTTTCTCCCTCTCTCACTCACTCTTGCTCTATCTCTAAATAAAATCTTTAAAAAAACTAAAACCTTCATGAATAAATTTATGAGCTGGCAATAAGCAAATTCATGCTCAGGCTGAGGTTAAGTAAAGGTGGGAACCTAGAAGTGTAAGTGAAGGACTGAAGTCATTTTTTCCCTTCATTTATACACTAGATTAAATATGAATTCCACTCAGGTTTCCATAGGAAAACCTACAAGGAGTTGAGACCCTGAAAATGTATCTTCAACATACACTACCCTTGAAAAGTCTTGAACCTTGGACTTAAGCAGAAAAGAAAATGAATAATCCCACATAAGAATCCAAAATTACCAACTATCCCACATGCAATTTGTATTTGCTATATTATTTGAATATCCAAATCTCCTACAGAAATAAATAAATAAATAAGTAGATGATAGATAGATAGATAAGATAAATGAAACTAAGTAGCTTGGGAGGCATGGGCAGAAAGCATGAGATGTGTTCAATATGTATAGATGAGGAAGTGAGACGTGTCAGGTATAGATACTGTAAGGAGAGGATGTGCCTGCTGAACATAGGAAAAGAAGAAAGAACCAAGTTGCACTACATGTCTCACTCAAAATACACATTATGCACATAGAAACATCCATGAGGTCTTACTTCACCTCCTACTGGTGACACTCATACTGGCCCTCTGCCTAACAAACTCAAAAAAAATCCTTAGCTAGCTCATCAGGATCACTGAAAAGCTGCAGCTGTCCCCACCCTTACATGTTCCCACATCTCCCTACTAGAGCAAATGTGCATGCTAGTCATAGAACCTTCTGTTTGTTGAGCCCCATTGCTCAAAACTCAAGTGATAGCCTAGAAACCACACCACTGTCAGGAAAGGGGGATGCAGAAGAGTCAGGCCAATCTGAAGATTATGTAACCAGGATTCAGGTGATCTTTTCACCCATTTGCTCCTTATCCTGAGAGTGATGACTGATGCTATCCCAACCCATTCTGATAAGCTATCCCATTTCTTTCCCCTTGCATCAGGCTACTTGTTCTAAGTTGATTTAATTAACTATATAATTTGAGCATCTTAATTTGGCCTGGTGTTTCTGTTCTGGGCCTCTGAGCTGTTTGCCTGGAAGTGACTCACAGGCCAGGACTGCATCAAGATAACTTCCTGCATGACATCTCTTGTAAGTTTGCTGCCACCTTCATCTCAGTCCTCAAATAATTCCCACAGCAGCTCAAAAAGAAAAAAATCCCTAAACACTACAAAGAAAATGACACCAGGAACAAAAGCCAGCAGAAACCATAGAGCAGACCCACAAAACTTCAAAGATTAGAATTATCAGATACCAAATTTAAAATAAGTATGTTTGATATCTTTCAAGAAATAAAAGACACCTTGAAAATGTAACTAGCAAGATTTAAAAACTTAAACCAGAATCCCTAGAAATACAAAGTATAAAAGTTAAGATTTAAAAAAAAATGATTGAACACTCTAACAGAATATCATAACTAAATGGAAACCCAAGAGTTTACAAAATGCTGCACTTCAGAATAAAACTATGGGGATGCCTGGATGGCTCAGTTGGACAGCAGGTGACTCTTGATCTCAAGGTCATAACTTTGAGCCCCACACTGGGTGTAGTGATTAGTTAAACAAACAAAGAAACAAACCACAAAACAAACAAACAAAAAAACTATAGTGAAGGCATATGTATGTATATGTGTGAATACACAGTTATATTTATATTTATAAATAATATAAACTAGTAATATACAGATTGTATGATGTTGTTATGACCTGATAAACCCCAAATTAAAAATACCGTAAGTCAAAAACGCATGTAATAAACCCACCCTACTAGCTTAGCCTAGTGTACCTTAAATATGATCAGAACACTTGTGTTAGCCTATAGTTAGGCAAAAATCATCTCACACAAAGCCCATTTTATAATAATATACTGAGCATCTCCTATGATTTATTGAATACTACACTGAAAGTGAAAACCAGAGTGGCTGAATGGGTAGAGGATGGTTTTAAGGGTACTGGGTTGCTGATCCTCGTGATCATGTGGCTCACCGTGAGCTCCAGCTGCCACCACCCTGCATCAGAACAGAAGTTCATACCGCACATCAGCCCAGGGAAAGATCAAATTAAAAATTCAAAGTACAGTTTCTACTGAATGCATATTGACTTCACCATTGTAAATTAGAAAAACTGTAAGTCAAGCCATTGTTAGTCAGGGACCATCTATAAAGAAGTTTCAAATGAACTTTAGGGATCCTAAAGTTCTTAATTTGTGACTGTGGGAGGGATCACTATAGCTGAGTCAGGATGGTCCAATACCGTCATATCACTTTATGATTTGGGTTTGGTTTGTGTACCTCATAATGCATACTTCTGAGCATGTGTTTAACATCAAAATTTTGTTCATAATTTGTACATTTCTCTTTCTTTTTCATTATACTTCCTAAAACATTTTCTTCATTATTCTACTTATTCTTACCAATGACCTCTGTGTGAAAACCATGTGATATAAGAGATTCTTTTTAGATACAGTCCTCCCAACCCCAGCACAAACGTTTGGAGCCTGAATGCATTCCAGAGACTTACATCCCAAAAGGTGGGCCAGTGTTAATCCATTTCCATTTTTGTTCTCTATCATCATATGATAATCCAATCCAGTAGTTATTCCTATAAGTTTGGGATTGAATAAAGGCCTGTAAGGAAACAAAACATATCATGTGACTAGCCCCATCTGCTAGATGAATGAAAAGGAGGAAGGTGAAGGTCCCAGCTGTTTCTTGGGACAGTACTCTGCTACACACCACACCACCCTTCATCTCTACTTCCTAGAAAACCCTCCCTCCCCTCCACCATCCTCGTGCCTTTATTTTCCGAAGTAAGTTTTTCCTCAAAGATTATTTACTTAATGTTAAAAATGCCTGCCACTCTCATGGATTATTTAAAACATAAAAAATTTTAAATCTAAGTATCTAACATTAGATTTGTTAAATAATGTCTGTCACTATAAAACTACCCAAATTCATGCTCCAGAAAAATATTTAATGGAATGGAAAGTGATCATTACTTATTATTTCTTTTTTTTTTTTAAGATTTTATATATCTGTCATAGAGAGAGCACAAGCAGGCAGAGTGGCAGGCAGAGGCAGAGAGAGAAGCAGGCTCCCTGCTGGACAAGGAGCCCAATGCGGGACTCGATCCCAGGACCCTGGGATCATGACCTGAGCCAAAGGCAGCTGCTTAACCGACTGAGCCACCCAGGTGTCCCGATTATTACTTATTATTAATGAAAATAGTAATCTTCACAACAAATTTATTAAAGTAACAACTATATGTGAGAAGTTGTGCACCAAAACCCTCAGCCTCACAGGAGAAAGGCTTGCTATAGTTTAATAGTTGGAAGGGGTGAAGGGAAAAGGGACAGTATTTGGAAATATTTCCTATGTCAAAAAATGTAATACGGCAAAGTGACATTTTACATAACATCTGATTAAATGACTGACTATATTTTAAAATATAGGTTTAAATTTAAGTGAATTTTACTGCAACAAACATTATTTTATGACTCAATATCATAAATTTATGTTATGATGATAAAACATTAGATTTGCATATAAATGTTGTGCTGTTTTCCTAAGAGATAATTAGAGGTATAGGCTGATTTTTGAAAATATTTCTCTGTAAAAAACGTTTTTTGTGTGTGGATAGTTTTTAGTAGTAATAAATTTAAAAGATAATTTTGATATTGTTGTCTATTTTCTTTTACAATTCCTTTTGAAAGATATACATCACTATACAATATATTAGAATATTGATCAAGAAAATGTTACTATAAATCCCATGAAAATCACCATGAGGTTAATTTGTAAAACTGTTATCACTTTTATATTTCTCATCATTATCTCCTTTTTGCAGATGGAAAAACTGAGATCCAGAGGTTAAGTAATTCACCCAAGGTCACCCAGGTAATAGGTGGCAGAAGCGGATTTGCAGGATCCCAGACAATCTGGCTCCTGGATTCCTAACAGCACCTAGTGGATTAGGTTCCTCCAGGTTCTTAGTTGCCACCCTGCAAGGATAAGTAACCACTGCCTCCAGGCTATAAATACTAAAGGGTTAAGGGCTCCATCGGAAGGAGAGGCATACTTTTCAGTGAGTTGTTGTCCTGCACACACCTTACAAAAGGAAATGAATGCAAAGACCCAAACTGAATCTTCAAGGGGGTTTCCATTTTGGAAATAATAATGGTCATCATGATAAAGAATATATACTGGATGCTTAGAGTAGCAAGATTCTATATGCTTATCAGTAGGCAGGGTTTTCTAGAACCCTTACCTTTCTCACCTACATAATTTTTGCTCACTCAACAGACACAACACAGAGAATAACTGAAGGTCCCTCTTTCTGGACTTCCCCCATCCTCAGTATCTTGGACCCAAGCATGAGAGACATAGGAAAATAAAAGTGGATGTAACAGTCCATGATACCAGTTCATCTTCATCATTTATCTTCAAAAGGGATGAATTATAACTTTGGCAAGTCTGTTTACATCTGTTCCAGTTTTTACTTTCAGGAATAAAATAATAACACTTTATTCCATAACAGGACCAGCAGTTTCCATAGAATTTGCCTACAACATATAAGGTGAAACATTATTTGGTATTCTGTTAAATAATGCAATATACTTATCAGCCCTCCATAATTAAATAAAATCTAAATAGCTATCAATAATGATAATATCAGGTTCACCAAGATTCTAGAATGCCAAGTGATATCTCTAATACTCATTGCAGCATCATTCACAACAGCTAAGATACGGAAACAACCCAAGAATCCATTGATGGATGAGTGGATAAAGAAAATGTGGTTATATACATATAAATACTACTCATCCTTATAAAGAAGGAAATCTTGTCATATGTAACAGCATGGATTAACCTTGAGGATATTATACTAAGTGAAATAAGCCAGTCACAGAAGGACAAATACTGGGAGACTCCATTTATATGAGACACAAAAAATTGTCAAATTCAGAAAAACAGAGAGTGAAAGGTGGTTGCCAGTGGCTAGGGGAGGTGGAAATAAGGAGCTTTTGTTCAATGGGTATATAGCTTCAGTTATGCAAAATGAGTAAGTTCTAAAGTCTGGTGTACAATATAGTGGCTATGGTTAACAATACTGAATTGTTACTTAAAAACTTGTTAAAAGGGTAGATCTCATGTCAAGTGCTCTTAACCACTCCCCAAGAAAAAGTGACATGGGAAAACTTTTGGAGGTACAGGACATGTCTACTACCCTAATTGTGGATGATTTTATAGATACACGCATATGTCCAAACTTGTCAAATTATATACATTAGATATGATCAATTTTTCACACATTCATAATACCTAAATAGAACTGTTTTTTAAATAATAAAAGTAAATTTTTAAAAAGATTCTGGGATGCCTTGTAAATAAAAGAAACACAGTTCTTTGGAATTTTTTCTTTTCCTCACATATTTTATAATGTACCAAATTTTTAAAATACTATTATTTCTTTAATAACAGAAAATATAAATTCCTGCTACCATGTCTAAAAGACTAAGTAAGCAAAATTGTTTTGCAAACTCCAAATCCTAAACAAATATCTAATACTTATTGATTAACCGGGTCAATTTATTCCATCATTTACATGACAGATTGTATTGTATGAGATTTAATATTCTTATCTGTTGGATGTTTTTAAGGGTGTTATCACACAGTTATACAAACACCAACACCTTGGCAAAACTTGAAGTACTACAGAGAGTGTATAGACCAAACATGGGAGGTCAACGCAGAATGGAAACACACACACAATTACCTTTATGAGAGCATCCAAATAAAAGGCCTTGCGCCCATTTTAGCCTAAGTATATTTTTAGTAATAGCCTCCATTTTTTATGTCAACCACAAAGTGGAGTGTCTAATTTGCCCCCAGGTCCAAAATGATCCACGTTTTCATGGAAGCTGACATATTATTTCATCTTCTAGGTGAAATCCAATAGGAATGTAGGAACTTCCACTGAATTTGGGGAGATACAGAACTCTATTAATCCCAACACAACTCCTGGGTCCTCAGTCTCACATGTTACATGGGCAAATCCAAACACTGATATTACAGCTTGAGGTACAAATGAAAAGGTGTCTAGTAGACCTAGATCACTAGCATATCATAAGCCTGCCTATTAGGCCTCAAAGCTTCTGGAAGAGGAAGAAATAATAGCAAATCATGCAATCTTTCATTCAAGATGCCCTTCATACCTTTATTTTCTCTCTGACATGTCCTATTTATAAAGAGTAAATCCTGTTTCTTTTTTTGCTGAAGCAATTCATTTTTGAGAATGTTATATTCTAAAGTCTTATTTGTCAAAAGTTTCTCCTTTAAGTAGCTGTCATTTTGCAATATGTGGTGCTCTCGAGTCAGGTTTCCTATCATTTCCCTCTGTCGACGGTTTTCTTGAGTATACTGAAAAACTAAAATTAATAACATAGATATAATACAAAAGTACTCATAATGCCTGAATATTAAAATTTAAGACAAAATAAAAGATCTCACTTTAACAACCAACCCATTTCATTACTTTAAATGGTTAATGTGACATTTAGAAAGTAACACCTCAATAAACTGACCATACAAATGGAAACATCAAACTTCCTGCTATTAGCAACTTCCGCATAGAATAAATAAAATAAGATATCTGAATAAAATCATGATGGTAACACCTTACCTTCAGTTCAGTTTCTTTTTTTTTTTTTAAAGATTTTATTTATTAATTTGACAGACAGAGATCACAAGTAGGCGGAGAGGCAGGCAGAGAGAGAGAAGGAAGCAGGTTCCCTGATGAGCAGAGAGCCCGATGTGGGGCTCGATCCCAGGACCCTGGGATCATGACCTGAGCCGAAGGCAGAGGCTTTAACCCACTGAGCCACCCAGGTGCCCCCAGTTCAGTTTCTTTTAAACAGCACATAATTTTAAATAGGTAACAGAGTAAAATCCAGTCAGAGAACACTTAGCAACACATCACCTGAGCATGAAAATCTGCACTAAGAAACATAAAGTAACAGCACCATTATTATTGGAGTAGATCGAATATCCACAGGAGAAAAGAGAGGAAGATGTAAATATGTACATTTATCTGAGTGTCACATGTTAGTGATTTTCTCTAAAGATGTCAAGAAATCCAAATAAGAGATAAAAGTTGAACTCAAGATCATCTAATATCCACATAAAAAATCAGTATTTTTACTAAATTATATCCTCATTACATATGGGAAAAAATGAAGAGAAAGTCATACTTTATTTGCAACAATTGTTTTATGGGAACGTGTATCTAAGATTCACAATGGTTAAACTCAGAAGGCATGATATGATGAAGTCCTGTATCTGAAGGAATGCGATATATCATACAGCTCATTAAACTACACAGCCATTGGAAGAGCTAAGCACAATGAAAATGACACTGTGACATATGTGGGACATTCCCTAATGATAGCCAGGGAACAATTAATGAAGCACACTTAATATTTGTGCAAATAGTGGTCACTATTACTCAAACTTGAAGCATGTATTTTAATTACTCACTCTTTGTCCCCAACACAGCAACTGTCGCCAATAGTAGTAAACACAGGATCCCAAGAATTACTGCAATAAAATACCAGGACACTGAAAAGAAGAAAGATAATCATCCGGAAGTGTCTTGCTCACTGCTAACCTTAACCTGGGATACTATCTGAAACAAAGAAATAATCTTCTCTAAAAATTTTAGAAAAATGTATCATACAAATTGATTTAATTTTTGACCTAGGAACTACACTTTTTAAGGTTTCAGATTTATGATGATATACACCCATTGTATAAATCCTACACACAAGAACAGTCCTCTAGGATCTTAAAAGCATTTCCCCTCCAGATGGCATAACATACAGAGATGTCCAATCTCTATGCTGTACATCCAAAACTCACATACATTGTATGTCAACTATAACTCAATTAAAAAAATTTCAAAAAATTTTAAGAAAAAAGCAGAGGGCAACAAATATAATAAAAATTTATAAGAATCCACACTGACATGTATACTCCTTCCTGTGACCACAACGAATGATGAAAAAGAAGGAAAAAGCAGTCATTTTTCTTGAGGAATTGGTAGCCAGCAGAGTATATTATGAGGCTGGAAATGTGATCAGGGTCCATTCTTAAAGTTTCTAGAAATCAACTGTCCTTTTTTTTTTCATCAATTCTATTTTTCCCTAAACAATATTACCTTTATCCTCCTACTTTTGAGGTCCTGTGTCTGAGCATTCTATCTCCATCACTAATTAAGATAGTAAAAATTATTCTCAATTTAGAGTCTATGACAATATTTGAAGGTAGAAGGTAAAAACAGAAAAAAGAACAGAAGGGGTGCCTGGGTTGCTCAGTTAGTTAAGCATCTGACTTCAGCTCAGGTCATGATCCCAGGGTCCTAGGAAGGAGCCCCACATCGGGCTCTCTGCTCAGTGGGGAGTCTGCTTCTCCCTCTCCCTCTGCCTGTCGCTCTCCTGCTTATGTGCTCTCTCTGTCAAATAAATAAATAAATAAATAAATAAATAATAAAGACAACAGCAAAAAGTAAATGCTCCTTTGGAATAATTTTCTGTTTCTCCATTGCTAATTAAGGATTGGTAAATATTGGGTCACCTGGGTGGATCAGTCAGTTAAGCATCTGCTTTCAGCTCAGGTCATGATCCCAGGGTCCTGGGACTGAGTTCTGCATCAGGCCTCCTGCTCACTGGGGAGCTTGCTTCTTCTTCTGCCTGCCACTCCCCCTGCTTCTGTTCTCTCTTTCTCTCTCTCTCTCTCTTTCTCTCTCCCTCTCTCTTTCCCTGACAAATATATAAATAAAATCTGAAAAAAAAAACAACTTTAAAATAAAAAGAAAAATAAGATTGATAAATACTTAAGACACCTAAAAATTTTTGTCTGAATAAAAACATTGTTTCTAACAAATATTTTCATTTCTCGAACATTCTCTAAGAGCTTTATTTCTCTAGGAAATGCAGTGTTCTCTTGAGACTCTAATCTGTCCTTTACGTTTTAAAGCCCTCATGAATTCCTCTTAACCAAATCTGAATAAAAACACTTTATTAGCTTTGCAAATTTCGAACAATTCGTTAATTTCTCCATTCTCACAAACTTAAAAAAAAGAAAAAAAAAAGACTTGTTCTACTCTCTACACCATTATGGTTTCTTATTACCATTTGACAACCTGAAGGACAGACAGAAACTTTTTTTCAAATGTCAAAGTTTGACAATCCGTAAGAGATGCTTAAGACATACCTTTGCCATCAGTGTTCCCAGACTTTTGATTCCCATCTGGCCTCAATCTATTTGGTGACTCTGAAGGAGACTGAAGAAATTTCAGGGTAGAATAAATCACTTGCTGATTGCTCATATCTAGAGTAAGAAGGGAACTATGTTTTGCATTAAAACCTCACAAAGGATGATTTCTGCCAAAAGAACAATTAAAATGTCGGGCTGTAGAAATATACCGGGGACATACCTAGAGGTCTGTGTATGTGTATGTGTGAATGTGTGTTTAACTCCTTCCAGTGCATAAAGCACGTGGACTGAGCCTGAATTATATAACAAATGGAAAACCTCTTAATATTTCTGTTAAAATCATTTATACTCCTAATGATTACTGCCAAAATTATTAGAATATGCAGAAGGAATTTTCTTTTTTTAATCTCCCAATAGATTGAATAGGTTGGGTCCTATTCACCCAGCCAATTTAGCTCAAAATGTTCAACATACATATAAAAATGTTGGGCAAAATTACCACCAGTATAAATTACTGAGACACTTTAAAACTATCAATTCAAAAAATGAAAATTCTGTTTCTGAAATTCTGAAAAAATATAAATATCTTGCCTTTAAAAAGGCCTTAATACACATGTTCACATCTACATATAAATATTTAAAAGTTCTTGCATTCTTTTCAATTATGACTTGAGTCTACCAGAGCGTTTCTCAATGTACAATCCATACACCATCTGCAAAAGAATTATTAAAGGTTAACATCACAGATTGGTCAACAATCCAGACTCCAGTGCCCTGTGCAAGATGTGCTGAGAAAAATCTCTCAGTTGAAGCCCAGTTGCCCATATTTTTAATCTCAAAAGATTCCCTCTGTATTTGAACTTTAGACATAATTTTCTAGTGTAAGATGTTGCAAGAGAAGCCTCTGTGAAAATAAAATTGTCAGCAGGCAGTCATTGGTTAATATCCATAAAAGATTCAATCTCTTAATGGATACCAATATAAAAAGAAATTATTAAATAGTAAACCTTTAAAATTTACCTTGGTTCTTTTACGAGTCGGTGTGAAAAGAAACAAAATATGGAAAACAAATTGCACATGTAACTATATTCTCTTTAAATTTATTAATTTACAAAATGTCCTAAACTTAATCACATTTTCCCTAATTTCGTAAGGAAAGAAGTCTTTTCTATTACACAGTCTTTAGGGCAGATAATATGTACATCATTCAGACACAAAGCAAAAGTCACAGTATACCGAGAAAAAGGAAATAACCTCCCATGAATGTTGCACTACAGTTTTCAAATGCTTAAGAGTTAATGCAGGTCTAATGTGATCAGTCCCATATTCACGCCAAGCCATTTATAATAAAGTGTTACCTTCCTAGAATCTTTCTTTCTGCCGTATCTCTTCTTTATCAGTGGCACTAGTAGGACACTCAGATAACAAAGATCGGGGGGAAGAGCAGACATTACCTGTGTCTATGCCACGCAGGGATGGAGGCGGAGAAAGCTGATCCAGAGAAGACATGGAAAAAGTTGGCCTCTCCGACCCTGGATCCCTTGCGCGCGTGAGGGGCTGTAAGACAGAAGGCAGAAATGATCATCTCTGAAGGGTACTCCTACTCAGAAATTCACTGCCCCTCCTCTTGACCAAAGTGCTGAAAGGAAACTGTATGCAAAGGCTGCTGTTGAGGTGCATCTTCCTCCATTTCAGCTAACCAACCACTTCATACGCTCTGCAAAATAACATTCAAAATCATATTTGAGGACTGAAAATATAAACAAACACAGCATTGAAAAAAATAAGAACTAATATCATCAAAAAAACTCACATATTTAAAAGAAACTACTAGCAAAACAAAATATTAAAATGTATATGTGTAAGTATACATATACCGAAGAAATAGCATAACCAAACTCTTGAACTCTTAAAGAGTCTGTTAGAAACTTCTCTTGCATGCGATTTGAAAAAAAAAAAGGGGGGGGGTTCCCATTTATGTGAACTACAGATAAATGTATTTTAGAAATAATTTTACAGGGGCGCCTGGGTGGCTCAGTGGGTTAAGCCTCTGCATCCGGGTCAGATCATGATCTCAGGGTCCTGGGATTGGCTCTCTGCTCAGCAGGGAGCCTGCTTCCCCCTCTCCCTCTGCCTGCCTCTCTACCTACTTGTGATCTCTCTCTCTGTCAAATAAATAAATAAAATCTTTAAAAAAAAGAAAAAGAAATTATTTTACAACATCCATAATTCCACTATAAAAAATTTTGGTGTATATTCTTCCTGTTTTTTATCCACACACTATGATTACTATGAAAACTGGCGTTATTCCATACATAATTTTTTTATTATTTTTAACAAATGTCTCCTCACTTTAAAAATATCAAAAATGTGATTTAAAAACCCATATATAGTCATTACCCATATAGATTATGCCACAATTCATTTAAGCCATCCTCTACAGTTGAACATTTGGGTTGTTTTCCAATTTATTCCTAGTGTAAAAAATATTTGCCCTTACAAGAATATCACTCACAAATAATGCTGTCTGAGGAAAAGTGTTTAAATATGAAATTAGGGGATCAATACCTGAAAGCACTTTGACACATACTGCCCAATGCCTTCCAGAGAAGCTGCTCCCATTTATACAGCACCAGTGGTATGTGAAAATGCTCACATTTGATTTTTTTTCAAGAGATGCTGCTGAATTATTCCTTGAGTTTTGTGCATGAATCTTACTTCATGAAGACCTACAAACTTCCAGCTAAAAGAAATGCGCTTCTGTAACTGTTTCTATGAGCCAGACCTTACCTGAACCTCACTGAAGTTCATTTTCATTTAATATGGCTTGTCAGTCTTCTGACATACAGGTCTATGAAACCAACTGAAGCTGTTCTTCGAAGGAGATGATTATGGTTAGTATGGACTATAGCAGAAGAGGAGGGAAGCAGGATGAGAAACAGAAATTGGTCATGCAGAGACAGCTCACCCTTACTTCACCAGACTCTGACCAAGCTCCTAACTCATTCTTTTCTTTCCTTACCAACCTCCAGCTGCAACTAAACCATCATACTTCGGATGGATTTCCCATTCTTCAGTTTGCTCACGCGTTCCCCCCTCTCCTCCAAACTACTTTACAAACACAGCTACTGAGTGTTCTGACCACTAGGACCAGGCTAGGTTACCCTGCTGTGGTTTGGCCCTCAGCTGATGCCCTTCGGTCCCCAAAGCAACCTTTTTTTTTTTAATATTTTATTTATTTATTGGACAGACAGAAATCACAAGTAGGCAGAGAGGCAGGCAGAGAGAGAGAGGGGGAAGCAGGCTCCCCACTGAGCAGAGAGCCAGATTCAGGGCTCAATCCCAGGACCCTGAGATCATGACCTGAGCCGAAGGCAGAGGCTTAACCCACTGAGCCACCCAGGCGCTCCCCCACACACACAAAGCGACCTTAATCTCTGATCACCACTTTGTCTTCATGTGCAGGCAGTCAGCTGAAATACCTCCTAGACACTAATTTAATTTAATAATATAAGCAGAGCTTCATGGGTAGAATCTGGACACCTCAAGAATACCGGCTGCTGGGCATTTTTTTTTCTTTACTCCAATCCTAGATTGGCTTTGTTAACCTCAAAACAGAGAAAGATCCTAGCCCTCTATCCTAATGCCAAATATAAATAAATTGATAGATGATAGATAGACAGACAGATGATAGGTAGATAAAACAACTGCTGAGATAATCAGGGAGTAGGGGAGCGGGAAGTATTAATGGTGATTGGAAAGGTGGCAGAGAAAGAGACGCTGTCATTTATTGAAGGACCCACTGTATGTATAACCGTATCAAAACTTCCCCACGCTGATAGCTGTTTAGTATTGCCCCCATTTTATACATGAAGAAACTAATGTTAAGAAGTTCACTGACTTGCCAAAAGATACATTATTGCTAATTCTTGATCCATGTTTAAATCAGGCTCATTAAATATTGAGTATTGTTGCGGTCCAAGGTTCAAATCTTCCCTAGATGTAAAAATGTCAACAAGTCACTCCCGATCGAGTCCCCTTCCTCATGTGTTCAATAAGAATGTCACTCACTTCATAAGCTTGGGAGAATTCAATGAGAGTAGCAGCAGATAGGATTTCTCAGACTTCAAAATACAAAAATATTCATTTTTTCCCTTTCTCTCCCAAGGTTCTATAAGTAGTGCAAGTGCTAGGACAGCAAAGTAGAAATCCTGACAGGCTGAGCTGGTTTCTCTGTCCTCACGTCAGGCTTGGAAGAGAGGGGTGGGGAGGGGCAGGGGGCACATTAATACAGTTGAGGAACTGAAAATATGTGGCAGCATAGTGCCACCTCCATTCTGTGACCTCAGACCCCGTTACTCACACCTTACTGTCCCAAGCAGTCACTAGTAATGCTGAGCCTTTATTCTGTTTTGATTTACATCCTTAGAGCTGATGGGGGCAGGGAAGTCAGTTCCCATGACACACGCTAGCCAGGTACAGAACACTGTTTTACGCCACCATAGCTGTCTATCCTCTGTAAGCTGAGTACCACGTCTGAGTTCCTATTCGTAACTGCAGCACAGACAAGACATGTGATGCTGACATGAACAAGATGGAGCAAGTGAAGAGGAATTGGTTTCACTCTTATGTAGACCATAAGGAATAACACAGAGGACCACAGAGGAAGGGAGGGAAAACTGAATGGGAAGAAATCAGAGAATGAGACAAACCGTGAGAGACTCTGGACTCACGGAAGCAAACTGGGGGTTACAGAGGGGAGTGGGGGTGGAGGGATGGGGTGCCCAGGTGATGGGTATTAAAGAAGGCATGTGTTAGGTTGAGCCCTTGTTGTTATACCCAACTAATGAATTGTTGAACACTACATCAAAAACTAATGGAACACTTACTATATGCTGGCTAACGGAACATAATAAAAATAAAGTGAAATAAACTATATTTTCTGAAATTTAAAAAAAAAAAAAGGAATTGACTAGAAAATCTAATTTTTCAGTTTTAGAGAAAAGCAATTGAGATGAATGATTGGGTAGCCAAATTGTGTAGCAGCTCCCTCCAAGCTCTAGTTATTTGGTTTCTTTGTTACTAATCTCGAATTTCTAAAGAGGCAAAACTCTTCTTAAAGAAGACAAGCAGCATCAGATAGTGGCACGAACTGAAACTCCTAGCATGGCCCTTTGATCAAAGCAGCACAAAATGGGAAGCATCAAACTTCATCTGAAAAACCACTGGTTCATAAAACAGAAAGATGAAAAATTTGAAGAATATTTTCAATGTTCCCGTACTTCGTTATCTAAATTCACTTATGTGCAAGACACACATAACACATACACACAACGAATATATAAAGTATGTAGTTATTTACTTCCTAGCTGTTTTGCTGTAAAAGCCTGTTTTCATTTGGGAAACCACACATTGTACCCCAACCATTATTGACCAGTTATTAACGTTGTCAACTAGCTTAGCTCACAGCTTCTAGTCACACCTTCAAACTTTCTGGTAACACCTCAAACCTCAGTGGCTTATCACTTCACAGCAGCATGCTGTTCTTCTACTTGCAGACCAAAGTGAAGGATGTTTAGAAGCAACACCAGCTTCTACGGAAGGATGGTCTGCATCCCTCTAGGAGGAATACTTCACCTCGCCAGGTTCCCACCTCCACAGTTAGACTTCATACCTAACCTTTAGGGCACTGAGCAATGCTAATTTTCTGGTCTTTGATGTAAAAACTCAAAAGACCTCATTTGAGGTTTCTTGTTCCTCTAACTAGTTACCTCATCTGTCCTTGTCTTTACAATAAAATCGTCTCTAACGCTCTGGAGGTAAAATCCTTTATATGGGCCCAACTGCCCTCCAGCAGTCTATCAAACAATACCCATCCTACCTCCAATTTCTAAATAACTAAATGAGAAGACCAACTCAGGAAATAAGCTTGAAAAAATTATGGCAAAAAAAAAGACTTCAGGGGCCATATGGACTCTCTGCCACTAAAGGTAACTTGTCTACTCACAGGTGGAAAAGGAAAGTTAAGTCTGCAAAGTAGGGGCATAATTGAGATTTCTGATGTTTCAGTTAGTGTTCCCTCCACTATTTTACATGGTTTAGACTCTGAACTTACCCTCAAATCATTCATTTACCTGTTGTTTATTTTTTCATTAAATTTTGTGGACATTCTATTCTAGCTCATTACCATATAATGGTAGGAAGCCAATTATTAAAATAATCAACAAACTTGATGATCACCCAAAACCTACACATAGATGTTTACAGGAGCTTTATATAATTGCCAAAACCTGGAAGCAACCAAGATGCCTTTTACTAGATAAGTGGATAAGCAGAGGTCCACCCCAGCAATGGAATATTACTCAGTATTAAGAAGAAATGAGCTATCAAGTCATAAAAGACATGAAGGAAATTTAAATATGTAAGTGAAAGAAGTAAAAGAAGTCAATCTGAAAAGGCTATATATTGTATAACTCCAACTATATGACATTATGGGAAAAAAACTGTGGAGACAATACAAAGAGTAGCAGTGATGCTAAGAGTTGGTGATGAGGGTAGGGAGATATGGATGGAGCGCAGAGGAGTTTTAGGGTAAATACTAGCTGTGATACTATACAAAAGGATATATGTCATTATACATTTGCCTAAACCCACAGAACAAACACTGCCAAGAGTGAGCCCTAATGGAAACTATGGGCTTTAGGTGATGATGTGTCAATGGAGGCTCATCAAATACAACAAATGTACTACTCTGGTGGAGGCTAAGCATGCATGCAGGCTGGAGTATATGGGAAATCTCTGTACCTTCCTCTCCTTTCTCTGGGAACCTAAAATTGCTCCCAAGAAAGTCTTTTTAAAAATTACAGGGATCAGTACTTGAACTTACAGCACAATCCATGTTCACAAGTCTCATATATTTCAAAACAGAATAGTCTAATAACAGGATATACAAAATAAAGAATCTCAGCTATCATTCAATTTATATTAAAACTGTCCATATGAATATAAATCCAGCCTCATTTGGTAAAATACCTGCCTGTACTTTTTTTTTTTTTTTTTAAGATTTTATTTATTTATTTGACAGAGACAGACAGTAAGACAGGGAACACCAGCAGGGGGAGTGGGAGAGGGAGAAGCAGGCTTTCCAAGGAGCAGGGAGCCCAACATGGGGCTCCATCCCAGGACCCTGGGATCCTGACCTGAACTGAAGGCAGATGCCTAATGATTAAGCCACCCAGGTGCCCTAGCCATCTGCACTCTTAACTATAAGAAGCAGAGGCACAAACCTCAGAAACTCAAAATAAAATAAATTAAATTAAATGGTAGAGGCTGGCAGATCATCCTGATTCTCAACAGTCCTCTCTGCTGTCCCATTATCTAATGCTTTGTTTGAGCAAAGTTACAGTGCTCTACTTGAGAAATTAGGATGACAGCTGGACCACATCCAAAAAACACATCTTTATCCAAAGTGTCTGAATATACAACTCTGGCAGGAGTATGGGCCTATGCAAAGTTCATGGTGACAGAAAGGCTTTCCATAGCAGGAGAAATGAACCTCTTCCCCTTCACACTAAGTTACAGAGACAAAATAATCTGATGGCAGTAAGTACAAAAGACAACCACCTCAATACTTTTACAAAGCACTGACTCTATGAAAAATGTTGTGCTAGATGCTAGGAAACAATACTCCACCCCATAAAGGGGCCAAAGGAACGATGGGCACAGAACCAATACTTGGAAAATAAGTTTTGATTATTGCTTACAGGGTGAGGGGGAAGGGAACGTGTATCTGCTGACCTGAGTGCTGTAACCTTCCAGTTTCATATAAAACTAGAATTATACAAAATTTAATTTTAGTGATCATTGTCCACCAACAGCTTACAATCAATTAAAAGCCAGTTCAAACAAGGTATTAGAAAATCAGAGACAGGGCGCCTGGGTGGCTCAGTGGGTTAAACCCTCTGCCTTCGGCTCAGGTCATGATCTCGGGATCCTGGGATAGAGCCCCACGTCGGGCTCTCTGCTCAGCAGGGAGCCTGCTTCCCCCTCTCTCTCTGCCTGCCTCTCTGTCTACCTGTGATCTCTGTCTGTCAAATAAATAAATAAAATCTTTGAAAAAAAAACCAGAGACAATATAAAATATTTATGTTAATGATATAGCCTCCAATCTTGGTTTGAATGTAAGAAACTCAGTAGACAGTGGACACAGACAGAACACGTCAGCATGAAAGGGAAGTCAGAGAATGAAGACACGTCAGAGAATGAAGAACTTTCTCCCAACTTTGCTCCATCTTGATCATCTTACTCACTCAATGTCTTACTGAGGAGCCACAGAATGGCTATTTGGAGGAGCAACCAAAAATTGTGGGCCCACAAGAGACACATGAAAAAGTGCTCCACATCACTCGGCATAAGGGAAATACAAATCAAAACCACAATGAGATACCACCTCACACCAGGCAGAATGGCTAAAATTAACAAGTCAGGAAATGACAGATGCTGGTGAGGTTGCGGAGAAAGGGGAACCCTCCCACACTGTTGGTGGGAATGCAAGCTGGTGCAACCACTCTGGAAAACGGCATGGAGGTTCCTCAAAAAATTGAAAATAGAGCTACCTTATGACCCAGCAATTGCACTACTGGGTATTTACCCTAAAGATACAAATGTAGTGATCCGAAGGGGAACATGCACCTGAGTGTTTATAGCAGCAATGTCCACAATAGCCAAACTATGGAAAGAACCTAGATACCCATCAACAGATGAATGGATAAAAAAGAAGTGATATATATATATATATATATATATAATGGAATACTGTGCAGCCATCAAAAGAAATGAAATCTTGCCATTTGCGACGACATGGATGGAACTAGAGGGTATTATGCTTAGTGAAATAAGTCAATTGGAGAAAGACAACTATCATATGATCTCCCTGATATGAGGAAGTGGAGATGCAACATGGGGGGTTTGGGGGGTAGGAAAAGAATAAATGAAACAAGATGGGATCGGGAGGGAGACAAACCATAAATGACTCTTAATCTCACAAAACAAACTGAGGGTTGATAGGGGGAGGGGGGTTAGGAGGGGGGTGGGGTTATGGACATTGGGGAGGGTATGTGCGATGGTGAGTGCTGTGAAGTGTGTAAACCTGGCAATTCACAGACCTGTACCCCTGGGGATAAAAATACATTATATGTTTATAAAAATTTTTAAAAATTAAAAATTTAAAAAAAAACCACCATTTTCAGCTAATCAAAACCTAAGAGAAGTTGGTGCCTATCCTGTAGATATTCACCAAAGGAGTTCTTCATGCAGAAGGGAAAATATCCCAGGTGGAAGAATGCAAATGGAGGAAGTAGTAAACAGTAAAGGGCAAATATATGGTTAAAAATAAATAATATGGGTTATTTAAAACAAAAAACAAAAAATTGTGGGCCCACAAGATCAAAGAGCAAGCATTTCTCCCTTCCTCCTTGAGGTTGACATCTAACTGTAAGAAAATTACAACGTGATTTGACATTACATATCCATCAAGGTCTACAACTTGAAGAGAAATGTTTATTTCCTGAAAAGACCTGGAGGTGATAACCAGTATAGTCTTGCACAGTGGAGATCAGGTGACTTTTTAGGACAAACCTTGAGGATGGCCCTGGATGTTCATGCAGTGTCAAAGATCACACAAGACTCCGTGGCAAACAGGCTGCCAAGACATGCTCTAGAGCTAAAATATCTGAAGGGTAGCCACAGGGCACACTGGCTATCAAAATTTAGTCAAATTAAATAGCACTAAAAAAAAAATAATGGTTGGTTAACAGCAATTACACCATTTTATTCTTACGTGAAAAATTAACAGGACATGATCTGGAATAGACTTACTTCAGTAAAAATAGTTAATTAAAGAACCTGAATGACAGATGGGTATTCATTTTACAATTCTTGTAACTTCTATGTTTGAAATTTTTCATAATAAAATCTTGAAAAAAGTTTAATAGGACTATAAATTCAGTTATACTAGCCACATCTCAAGTACTTAAGTTGCCACGTGTAGTAGTTAGTGGCTACCTTATTGGTCGACAGATACAGAACATCTCTTTTATGTCAAAGAAGTTTACTGGACAGACCCACTCTAGAACCAAGCTCAAGAATACTGGCAAACCTTCAGAGATCAATTCTTCCCAATAAGGTCAGTCCTGAGGTCCCAGGGCGAGTGAATTATCACTACTAGGACTGCACACTTTTAAAGACTGGGGGTTCAGATGGGGGATTAACAATCCCAGGGGCATAGTTACTAGCAGGGGAAGTTAATGAAAGAGGTTGCAGAAAACTGAGAATCATAAGTTGAACCATGCTCTTAATAGTGCAGATACACACACACGTGCATTAAAGTCTCGATTTTAAATAACTTGTAATGCTGAGAACTCATTTAATTCCTACAGAAACACAAATTATATTCTGAAATATCTTATAGACAAAAATCTACTGTGAAAAAAGGAATAAGGGCATAATAGAAGATGTATTTCAACTGGGGTGCTGACCTGACTCTCATAACTCTTTAGACAATTACTGATTATACCAAAAATATTTAAATTTTAAGAATTCCTGAGGGGTTTGGGATACATGTGAAAAATCCGGAATCTTCTGTAAACAACTTCTATAGGCACCAAAAAATTACAGACCATTAGGTATGGAAGAAATAAGAAGACATCTGCAACTGCCCTTAAAGGATAAAAATCTGGCATCACATTTCTGCCTGAAAGAACTTCTACCATAGGATGTACCTACTAGAACAATTCTTTATTACCTTAAAGTGAATAAAGAGACTTAGCCTTCTGAAAAAAAAGAAAACAAAAAACCCACTCTCCATCCAGGCTTTGATATGTTTTATTACAGCAAACTTTCAACAAAAGGTTGCTTTTATTTACAGAATTTCATGTGTGAGAACTATCCAGACCACTTGGACCCGAGCTGAGAATAACCACTAAGCCTGTTTATGTATTTTCTTATTGTTAGTTGGCATACAAAAAAAACAACAACAACAACAAACAAACCTTCACATTTATAAAAATCCCAAGAGTGTAAATGACAAACCCATCCCTTAATTAAATATAAAAACAGCTTCAAAAACATACAATTTAGATTGGTTTAATCTTGAAATGTAATCCAATAAGACTAAAAACTAAACATTTCAGGTCCTGCACCAAATAGTAAAATACTCGAAGGCCTTCAGGATCCCTAAAATTTAAAAAGGTAAAAGTTACTTTTTTGTTCCTAAGATGAAACACATAATTTTAAAGTCAATTCCCAAAACAAAACACACACCAAAACAAAGGAATTCAGGAGAAAGGAAGGATTTGCTGCAACTAAAATGAACATACTGATCACCATTTCTGTCTTTTCTAAAAAATATATAAATCTCTTCACCAGTAATAATAATTTTATATTAGTATTTATTTTCTTGTAAAAAGAAATAGCTATACATAGTAAGAATGTAGAAAGCAGATAAAATTATAAAGATAGAAAAAATAATACTCATAATACTATAAAATGTCATTTCTCACAGGATAACTATAAATATTTTGGCATTTCTCTATTTTCATACCTAAAATCATACCCTGTGCCCTTTTTAACATTATTTTTCCCTCTTTATAACACACATCCTCCCCAACGTCCATCACCCAGTTACCCCTCCCCCACCCCCAGCAACCATGAATTTAAAATGTTAGCAGCTTCATGATGTAATGAACACTGGGTATTATAGAAGACTGATGAATCAGTCTACCTCTGAAACTAATAATATATTATATGTTAATTAATTGAATTTAAATAAAAATAAAAATAAAATAAATTTTAAAAAATAAAATGTTAACAGTTTTTGATGCATAATTATCAAACTGCTTCCCAAAAAACCCTGTACCAATTTTAAATCCCAGTTAGGGTATGAACACCACCACATCCTCATCAACTGTGGGAAAATCAGCTTGATAATTCAAAAGTATCTGATTGGTCTTTTAGAAACACAGTCTTTTGTATCCAATAGTTACTATGCATTCATTCCTTTTTTCCTTCCTCTAATAAATATTTACAAAGCACTTCTTGTGTGCCAGGCACTGTGCTAACTTTGGTGACATAGCAAGGTTTTCACGGAATTCACATTCAAACCAGAAAAGCAAACAAGTAAGTTCTTACAATTTAGGATGACAGAAGAAAGAGCACTAAGAAAACATTTTGAGGCATACGAGAAAGAAGAAGTGGAAGAAGGAAATTTGGGGGGCAAAAACAATAGTATGTCCTACAAAGGCCCAGAGGAAACAAACTTGGGAAGACCGAAGAAGCTAAAACCACACTTAAGTTATACTGATTTTCTTCAATTTCTTTCAAATATTAAACTCAAGGAGGAGAATGATGCAATATTAGCCTAATGAGGCTGATATAATCCAATAAGGACTTCTTTTAAATTTTATGAAATCCTACCCAGGTTTTTACCAAAAATAGCTATTAAAATTTGCTCACTGTTATGCAGTGGTCAGATAAAATTTTTTCTGACAATCAGAAAAATAAACTGCTAATCACTTTGACAGGAAGTCTTTAATGACATAAAAGTCAGAATTATATCTGCAGAATAAACTGATTAAGTGGCCACTGAAATAATCCTAGAAAACTGGCTACGGTTCTAAAATGAGCCTCTCAAATCAATTATGTCAATTTATTTTTTTAGATTTTATTTATTTGTCAAAGAAAGAGCACAAGCAGGGGAGCGGCAGGCAGAGGGAGCAGGCTCCCCTCTTCCCCACTGAGCGGAGAGCTGGATGTGGGACTCGATCCCAGGACCTTGGGATCATGACCTGAGCCGAAGGCAGACGCTTAACTGACTGAGCCTTACAGACATCCCTAAATTACATCAATTTAGTTAAAATACTTTAGCATACTTACTTTGACTGATTTACATCAATAAGAGAACCTATTTTGGATGTGGTAAAAGAAATGTGTTCATCTCCAATTACAATTTCCAGCTCCTGAAAAAAATAAAATAGATTGCTGTAGTTAATGTAAAACTCCACCTCAACAGTTTACCAAGAGGTCCCAATTTAGCTGCAAGTTTTCTAGCAGTCACAGAGGAGGGGAAAAAAAAAAAAAAAAAAGGAAAGAAAAGGAAAAGGAAAACAAATGGAAAAGAATGATAGACATAAACTATGTCTATAAAATACAAACCTCATCAACTGCTCAGGAGTCCCTAGTATTAGGATCAACCAAGAATAGCTTTCCAGAAATCTCAGAAAGAAGACACCATAAATATGAATGATATACGTAAGAATACACACAAATATTTCTTAAATCAGTAAAAACTAAAGATACAACTTTGAAGCACAATTGTGTAAATATGGGTATAAACCTATTTTTAATAAATAAATACAAGCACATTTAGTCTTTCTATCAGACTTTATAAATACAATGTGTAATACTAACAGCATCGCTTTGGCATCTACTAGGTAGGAGACCCTGCCATTAAGGACTTTACAAACATACTCTGTAAGCCCTAAAACACCCTTCTCAGGGTATTTTATAAATGCACAATACCAGACGCATAAAGCATAGGGAAAAAACAATGATGTATTTACAACCATGAGTAAGCAAAGGTATTGGTATTTGAGTCCTCGGCTATTAAGACTGAAAGACTCACCCTGGTTTGACTTCACAAAGCACTGAAAATTAAGACCTAGGGGCGCCTGGGTGGCTCAGCGGGTTAAGCCTCTGCCTTTGGCCCAGGTCATGATCTCAGAGTCCTGGGATCGAGCCCCGCATTGGGCTCTCTGCTAGCAGGGAGCCTGCTTTCCCCTCTCTCTGCCTGCCTTTCTGCCTACTTGTGATCTCTGTCAGTCAAATAAATAAATAAAATATAAAAAAAAAGAAAATTAAGACCTAGTAAAACAAATATGACACACTGTAGACATTCTTAGTGTGCCATAATTATTGTAGAAATTGTTTTCTAGATTTTATCTGCAAATCTAAAACCAATAATTAAGAGGCTATGACTATAGTGATTTACCGAGTTAAGTAACAAATGCCAATAAAGATGATCTTAGCTCTGTACTTCATTACGAGACCTAATTATGTACAGTTTTTGGCACACACAAAACAGAGAACTAACTAACGCTCTCAAACGATCAAAAAATCTTTGACTCAAAGATCCAATAGATGATTTCTGGAACATGCCTACCCCTCCCCACTAAAACATATGAACATAGCAAAACCTAGATGAAAATACTGGGTTCTCCCTGAGTCTAAAAGAGATAAAAGGTTTACTGCTGTGGTATCTATTTTTTATTACATATGTACCTATTGCATCAAACAAACCAAGATTTAAATTTACTTTCTAGAAGTGTTTACAATGCAGAACATAAATTCTGTTAACTTTACCTTTGCTTTCCTAAATGTTTCCTTAAAGAGAAGAGGAGTTAAGTGACTACTACAGAATGTCACCATTTATTTGATTTCTCCACATTTTCTCCTAGTCAAAGAAGGGGATATTAAGTATAATCCTCAGGAATATACAAAAGTGAAATTAAGTGTTTCTTCCTCCAGGAGTTGTATCTCATTTCTTTAAGAGTTGAAAAAACCCAATCAAACTGTCTCTCTACAAAGTGAAATTAAGCCTTCAAACTTCTCCAGAAGCCCTTTGAGAAACATTAATTACTCCATAGGGAATAGGAGGCAAAAGTAATGGTCAGTTTGAACAGAGAAACCAATCAAATCCTTCTCTGAGGCATAAGGGTGCAAGTAAAGAGTTCTCAACATTATGAAAACCAAGAAGGTGAATTCTACAGTCAATAACAATCCTCTCTTGAATTTCACAAACAGCTGTAGTTATTCCTAATAGAAGTAATTAATATTCAATAGCAATTATCCATAACAGGAAAACATCCTAACTTTAACTGGTGAGGCTACAGAGAAGACTGGTCAGAGAGAAGTCTACATGTAGAGCTCGGTACTGACTCCTTTCCTATTCAGAGATAGTACAGAAAATGAGACTAAGTAAAATAAAATTAAAGAGTATTTACTGGGTGCCTACTAAATGGAAAACCAAAGAATCAATGAGGATCTATGCTAAATAAATAAGGAGAAACATAAAAATTACATCACCAATTTCTAACATGTGTGCACATAAAGAACCACTGAATACAAACCTGTCGGCCAACTCTGTCAGGGGGAGGCCACAATGCATCATCTTCTTTTGTAATTTCACTGTCATCAATAATCCTCTTCAGTTCCTCCATTACACTCTTGTGCACATAAGCCTGAGAATAAATTACAATAAAAATTCTGCAATGTCTATTACTTCCCACAATTCAGAATGAAATAACATACAAAGTTACAAACCCTAAATATTCAAAGAGACTGTCACAGAAAAATCTAATACTGATCCCAAAATACAAGATGGGAGAGAATCACTCAACCTTAAGATTTTATTAACTCACTTTCCCTTTCCTTTAATATGTATTTGTCTCCAAATTTAAAAAAAAAAAAAAAAGATAACTTACACTAGCCCCCTTTTAAAACCCTGGATTTTGCCTTTATAACATGGGACTCAAATACCTCTGAATAGTTAACAATAACAGAAAATCTGTGAGGCAAACAGAGACGAATACAAGTAGACATTACAGTTACTGCTCTGAAATTTTTCTTACCCCTAAATTTTGAGCCTTTCATTTAAAATTCATACTGTGCTTAAATCTTGATTATTGGGCACCTGGATGGCTCAGCTGGTTAAGCGATTGCCTTCGGCCCAGGTCATGATCCTGGAGTCCCAGGATTAAGTCCCACATCAGGCTACCTGCTCAGTGGGGAGACTGGTTTACCCTCTGACCCTCCCCCTTCTCGTGTTCTCCCTCTCCCTCTCTCATTCTCTCAAATAAATAAATAAAATCTTTTTTTAAATAAATAAATAATCTTGACTACCAATTAATTTAAACAGGGAATGGGATAAAAATACAAACCTAAGTAGGAAATGAATGAAATTATATGTTCAAAGGTGGGACAACTTAATATATTCAGATTGCTTCTTTGGAGTTACACATGCTACATTTAGATCTAATTTAAATGGACTCCTTTTTCTATCTATAAATTGGCTTCTTTACAGCAATACAACCTTAGATGTACTTATGTAAATTCTTAAGACATAAAGAAAATGGTCTAAATGTAAAAAATTAAACAATTGAAAAGAACTTACCTCCTTTCTGATCATGACATCATTTTTGTAATTGCTGTTGTTGGCATATCTAAGCTTTCCTGTGGGGAGTGGAAAAAAAATTCACTCTATAACAGCAAAAACTGCTAAAAAAAAATAATAAAGATATGACATTGTAAGCAATTTCAAAGGTAAAGACTGTTTTACAGTACTACTTTTATTAATATTTCCACCTTTTAGCATAAGATCAATGTTAGACCTATAAACACTCAAATATTTGTTGGTAAGAAGTTGGCTACAACTGAAGCCAGTCATTTTCAAAACTTTCATACTTTCAATGGAATTTTTAAATATTCAACATAATTTTTAAATATTTCATACCTTCAATATAATTCAGTATAACAGGAGGGTCATTTTTAAGGCACGTTTGCTTAAGCTATGTCATGAACTAGACAGGGAATCCGAAAAGGAACTAACATTTCTTTTAAAGCCTGTTATATATCTGTATTGGCCCTAAGTGATTTACCCAGAAAATTTAATTTAATCGGTAAAACAATCCTTAAAATGTTTTATTCTCTCATCTACTCACACTTGAGAGAACAGAGTTAAATAACTTGCTCAGGGTCAGAAAGATTCATCTCTAGGTCTACCTTCTTCCAAAACTCATGTTTTCCCCAATACTCCAAAATGTTCTTTTAATTACTTCCTTCAAATTAATATATGTATACAATACAGCAATGCTACTATTTTAGCACTGTGACTAAGATGCACACGAACTATGTACTGCTTCTAGATAAAAGTTGACCAGTTTGTTAGCTGACCAATGTTTAATTTTAATCCATCATGACTTTGTATTGCCTGATGCATGCTTCTACTCACAGCTGTAGTGAGTTGCTCAGATATAAATGTAACGTGGTCCTGATCTCTAAAATGGTAGGTTCCCCTAACAAGGTTATCCCTTCACTACTGATGGAAATACGTGGTGGTGTGGTGGCAGATAACTGGATGAGAACCACTGTTCTGGCATGAACTCTCCCTGATAATATCAGACTACTTAATTTATGTGACTGGCTAAACATGACAGAGGCAAGCTGAAAGCTGTTCAAAGGCAAAGGCACTAAGAAGAGTATCATCTAAGAAAAGAATAGATGGAGAATTCAGGTAAATTTGGCTCCTTAGCTAAATTTAGAAGAGACATGAGGAGAACAAGGGCGAATAAAGTGATTAAGGTTTCTGAACTTCAGGGCTGTAGCTACCTTGAGTTCTTCCTTAAATGTCTTGATACTCTTCCTCTTTCCTAATATGTGATGCTTCTCTACTTTTTTTTTTTTTCACTTTCACAGAACTTGTCCAAAGCTTAATACACCAGTTAACATCCACACTGTTTTATGACTAGGTTCATGTCTGCATCACCCACCAAGATATAACTCCTTCAGAGAAATTAAAGAGACTTACTCATTATTGTACCCTCAATTTTTGTACTTATGTGTTGCCCTGCACATAACACACATTCAAAGAATGTTCACAAAGCTCTCAAAAATCTATGCAGGTGAACTGTCCTTGTTCTAAGCAGAGTTCAGTATACAGTAACTCTCTAAAGAGAATTAGGGCTCTCAAATGATAGAATATGCTGCACCTACGTGTCAGCACACAGTTCCACCTCTCCCTTTGCTCATGCTGCTTTCAGCAGTCTGAATGGTTTTATTCCCCTCAAAGGCCAAGAAAATACCTATTCTCATTTCAAAGCTCACCTTGAAAGAGGACTTTCGCTACGTATATTACTATGATCTCAAACCCACCTTTGCCCCACATTTTTTTGGCACGTATTTTTGGCATTTTGGAGACGGTCTTTGAGATGCTAGTCCACCGTCTTCCCAATGCTGGCCTCTCTGAAATAAATTCCTTTCTTGTCTCACCACCAGTAGGTTTTCTGCCTTTGGATTTTGTCAGCTGTGAGCCCCCAGTACGGTCTGTTTAGGAACCCCAGAGCATCCCTGCGCACCAGCTACAATTTCAACTGCTACCTTCCCTAGGAAGCTTTCTTTGACTCCTACATGTACCCCTAACCATTCGCCCTTTTTATTCTTAATGCATCCTATGGGGAACGACTATATTTAAGCACCCTACAATTATTTTTCTACACGCGGAGCTCCCCTCCTGCAGAGTAGGTCTCATTCCTTTTCCTAGACACGTGGCCTTACATAGAGCGCCAGCATGAATACAATGATTGAATGGGAGTCCGAAAATTACCGGTCACCGGAAGACTAAGCATCCACTGCACAACAGCGTGGTGGGACGTTCTTTAAAGTGTTCAAGGATGACGTCAAGTAAACCAGACGGTGTGCTGAAAGTAGGATTCTGATTACCCTATGTTCAAGTTTCCAGTATCTGGCAGGATTAGATTTTCTGAATTCACTTACACCAACTTATGCTTCTGATAGTCTTCGGTTCGGATTTACTTTGGCTCTAGCAGTGACCTCAGTCCCCACTGCATACCTGCAAGCCCACTGAAAGGGGTCCTCTCCGCCCCGCTTCCCCTAGCCGCGCACCGCGCTAGCCTGCGGCCGCGGCACCGCTCCTCTGCTCACCGTCTGGCCGAAACTCGAACTCCAGAAACTCGTGTCCAAACTTGCCCTTGTGCCCTACGTAGTAGCGCAGGTAGAAATCGCTGGCCATAGACATTTTTGCCCCCTAAAGCCAGCCCAAGGCCCGGCCAATTTGCCGCCGGGCGCCTGGTAGTGACGTCATCGCCCGGGATTAATGCGTCACTTAGGGCGCGCCTTTCGGGTCCCAGGTCACCGAAGGAAACCGGGAAGACAGTTGGGTTGGAGGCGCCAGGGCGAGAGGAATTTCGCTTTAATGGGGTTGGAAGAATATTTTTTTCCCAAAAATTAAGTAGATCAGATTATATTAGTAAAACACAGAAGTGTGAAAATGTGAGCGCATTTTTTATGGGTTTAGAATTAAGGTTTTTCACGTCGCTTACTTTTCAGGTCTCTAATTCTCGCGACATCCTGTCCTCACGAGGTGGGTGTGGCCTCAGTCCCCTTTAACTGGTGGAATGAGAAAGATAAAGCCCAGAATCAGAATGGTAGACCTGGAGTATCACCCTTCCCTCCAGATTCCTAACTGGAGCTTTCCCCTTTGGGCAGTGACTGCTAGTTATCCAGCAGCTAGAAGCCTAGAATAGGGATGAAGTAGAAAGAATCCATCAGACAAGAGGTCTGAAATTTGAAAAGCACATTGGAACTAAAGATCTCTGACAGTCATGGCATAAGAGAGTTCCTCTTAATAGTAAAACTTTAATCATTCAGTAAGGGTTAATCTTTAGTAGCCTGTGGAGTTTGACAGTTTGACTTAAGATCAAATGATTTAGCCCGCGTTTCTTCTTTTTTTTCTTTTTTTTTTTAATTTTATTTATTTGAGAGAGTGTGTGTGTGTGAGCAGGGAGAGGGGCAGAGAGAGAAGCAGACTCCCCGCTGAGCAGGAAGCCCTATGTGGGGCTCCATTATGGACTCCACCCCCCCCCCCATCATGACCTGAGCTGAAGGCAGAGGCCCAACGGACTCAGCCACTCAGGTGCCCCAGCCCACGTTTCTTACCAGAAAGAATTAAATTGGGGAGATGAAGAAACGCTCTGGTGTGGAATGGGTTTTGAAGGAAGTAGAAAGACTAGGTGAACTTTTATACAAAATCTACTTTTGAAATATTATTGATCACCTTTTTTTTTATTTTTACTAGCAGAGTAATTCTGTTGGGTGACCTTTAACCTTCAGCAAGATTTAGAAGAGTGGCAGTCAGAAGACCTTGATTCATTCCCACCACATACTACACCATCTACTAACCTTGGTTACTTAGTCACTGTCTACATCTGTTTTTGTTCACCAGCCAAATTAATATCCTACAATGTCCTACAATCAACTTTGTGAACCTCCAGAATTGTTGAGAAGACCAAATGAGACAATAAATGTATAGTAAGCTTTAAAATTTATAAAACACCTAATGATTTTAACAGGCATTTCTTATGTGCCAGAAATGGATGGACGCTGGTAATGATAGAGCCCTTTACACTTTTAGTCCAAAGAAGAAAGCAAACAGTTGAAAAATGTTAACATAATGAAGCAAATGTTAGAAGAAAGAATATTTTTAGTTCCTTAAGGAAGATGCAGTCACAGCAACAGTGGAGCTTTGGATATCCCGCTCCTGCTCTTGACTCACCACTGTTGCCCTCTCACAGAGGAACAAGTCAGTCAGGAAGCCACACTGCAGCCATGACTTTTTTAAAGACACCAGGAAGACACCCATAGAACCGGAGGTAGCGATTCACTTAAGAATTACTCTAACCAGGGGCACCTGGGTGGCTCAGCGCGTTAAGCCTCTGCCATCGGCTCAGTTCATGATCCCGGCGTCCTGGAATAGAGCCCCGAATCGAATCGGGCTCTCTGCTCAGCGGGGAGCCTGCTTCCCCCTCTCTTTCTCTGACTGCCTCTCTGCCTACTTGTTATCTCTCTCTGTCAAATAAATAAATAAAACTTAAAAAAAAAAGAATTACTCTAACCAGCCACAAGATAAATCTTTGGAGAAGGTATGTGCTGACTTGAGGAGAATCTCAAAGTGAGAGGACCAGTTCAGATGCCTGTCAAGGCTTTGAGAATCACTACAAGAAAAACTTATAAGATTTGGGATCATTTTCAGCCGAGGATCCACAGGGTACTCCTTGATTTGCACAGTCCTCCTGAAATTGTTAAGCAGATTACATCCATCGTTATTGAGCTGGGAGGTGAGGTTGAAGTCACCATTGCAGAAGCTTAAATCAGCCATTTTAATAAATTATCAATTGTTAAATAAAGGAAAGAAAGAATATTTTTTAAATGCTGGTAGGACAGCAGAAGCAGCAAGTCATTTTATTGGGGAAACTGCAGAAAGGGAAGTATCAGGTGAGGTTTGTGACAAGAGGTATAATTTGAATCAGACCTCATTGAATAAGTTCAGTATATGTTCAAAGGGAGGAAAAGAATTCCAGGCAGAAAACAGCCTTAGCAAAGGCACAGTGGTATGAAAGTGTGTGATTTGGGAAAGCGAAGAAATCACTATAGTTAGAAGATAAGGTTCATACAAGTAGAATAACTAGAAAGGCAGACTGGGCCAGATTATGTGGAGTTTATATTAACACTTCTATAACTGTAAATATAGAAATCTATATTGACCATTGCATAAATGTTAATACATAAAGATTATTCTGCCATTATGGAAAACATTCAAAAGACATAAAACACTATCCCTTACCACTAAGGTGACTGTTCCAGTTCGACCAGGATTGGGGAGTTTCCTGGGATGTGGAACTTTCAGTTTTAAAGCCTGCAAAGTCCCAGGCAAACAGGGATGAGTTGGTCAGGGTACTTACTACAAGAATAACCCACAGAAATTTGGCCACAATATCCCATAGTAGCTCTGAAAATATAAGCAGTAATCCATTTGGTTTGTTTTTAGAAGGGAGACTCATTCAATATCTTTAGATTCCCTAGTGCATGTCCTTCAGATTTCTGGCACACATGCCAGTGTTCATGTTCATGCTTATGTAAGAGAGCGAGCTACAGGTACCAGAGCTTACTATGATGTAAGCAGTGAGTGTGGAATGCACAGTGTTAAGATATTTATCTATAGGCCAATTACTGTCCTTATCCCCTTCTGAGGTAAAGACTAATCCTCTCTAACCCTATCTGTTTTTAGGATGAAATGTGAAAATATATGTATTTAATCCTTTATCTATATAAAAAAATAAGCCTCACTCTCTCTTCTATCTGATAAGGATTGCAGAGTGATAAAGCCTTTGTGTTTTGTGGTCTTTTCTTGGATGTTATACAACAGAGATGTGGAAATGTTCTGAACGGCTCTTGAGCACTTGAAATGTGAGTGGTGAGACCAGGAACTGAAATTTTTTTTTTTAATTTTACTTCACTTGTATGAACTTACATTAATATTTAACTAGCCACATGAGTGTTTTGACTACTGTGTTGGACAGTGAAGTTACTTAAGAACGACTTCATACACTTTTACTTGGGCTGGAAATAGTGAAAATATTTTTCAAACACTGAGAAATCTCAATCTCAGTTGCCATAGGGTTCAAATTAGAGCATACTTACTGGGATCACCAGAGTTTATTTATGAAAACAAATGTTTGGGCAGCTTAAATGAAGCCAAATAAAGAACTATTTCTGCCTTTGCCAAAGCAACCTATCTGTGATTAGCTTTAAAATATCCTCCTGAAGTAGTTAAGAAATACACATTTTATTTCCAACTCCGGCCAAAAGTAAGGCTTAATGATTTAATCGAATACACAATATTCATTGATAGAATAATTATTTTCCCCTGATATTTTAAGTTTACTGCTTTGGGCTTCACAGTGATGAATCAAGTCAGAGGGCTATGGTCAGAGATGATTATTTCTTAGAAGTGTTAATCTTTTAAAATGTTCTGATTTTTCCTGCATCTCAAATTCTCTCTTCTTTTGATCTCTTGAGTGTGCTCTGTCCTCACACTTTTCTTTTGCCTTTTGCCTATTTAAAATTATCAAATCATTCTTACTTAAAATTTTCAGAATTATGTCCTGAATTTCCCGAGATAACCACTAAAGAGGAGAGGTTTTGTTGTTGTTGTTTTCATTTGTTTTCTTTACTTTATCAGTAGCTTTTGAATAGTTTGAATTTGTATTTACAGAACAAAAGCTGCCAGGGCTATCTCATTCTATTAAATGGGTCAGAGTAATAAATCAAGAATATTACATAATCTAAAACAGCATTCTAAGGTAATCAAAAAAATTTTAATGTCAGAATGAAATGGTCTATTTCAGCCTTTATGCCATCCACCCACCTTTCTCTTCTCTCTTCTAAAACAGACTTCTTGGGGCGCCTGAGTAGCTCAGTCACTTAAACCTCTGACCCAATTTCAGGTCAGGTCATGGTTTCAGGGTCATGGGATTGAGCCCCACATGGAGCCCTGCGTGGGACTCCACAATCAGCACAGAGACTGCTTGTCTCTCTCCCTCTATGCCTCGCCTTCTGCAAACATGCATGCAGTCTCTCGCTTTCAAATAAATAAAAGTCTCAAATAAATAAATGTATCAGTAAATAAATAAAATCTTTTAAAAATAAAATAGACTTCTCTATGGATTTTTAACATTAATAAATGAAAAGACATCAATAAATTATTAATAATAAATAATCAATTATAATAATTATTAAATAATTTAATGAAATAATTATATAATTAATTATAATTATTATTTAAAATAATAAATAATTAATAAATAATAAATTAAGACATTAATAATAAATGAAAAGACATTAATAAGTGTCTTTTCAACCACTTAGTGGTATTACATTTTTAATAAGAGAAACACCATTACGCAGAAACACCAAAAGTTTCATACCATTGTTTCTCAGATATGTTCCTATGTGGTAGGCACTATTGCTAGATTATTATGACATGATGATATATTTAATTCCAGTATTCAGACTAATAATTTTTCCAGTATATGACGATATCATATGCTTCCAACACATAGCATGACCACTAACTCTTATTTCCAAAACAAGTAAAAACAGTCTCTAAATTAAGGATAATGGGCTATCCTCCCAGTTTCCATTGTATTTGCCATACTTTTTTAAAGGAGCTATGATAAAGCAAAAATTTAATAAAAATTATTACAGCAAGATTAAGAAAATGCTATCTGCTACCTTACTTTTTCTTTTAAAATGGTAAAAAAAATTATTCAATTTTAATAACACCTAATTTAATCCACCCTGAAAAACACTAGTGTTCTGCACGAGCGTCATTTGAAACTACTGGTTCAGACTATTCTAAGTTAAACTACATTTTCAACTTTCAATTAGACTCTGTACCTAGGTGGGCATTTGGTCAGTTCCTAGCTGTTAGAGGCTTTTTTAAACAATAAAGCATAAATTGGAAAAACAAGATGGAGGGTGGAATCAAAACAATAAAACAAATCCTAGCCCAGATTCAAGTTAATTGAATGGTAAATATTCTTTTTTTTTTAATATTTTAGTTATTTATTTGACAGAGAGAGAGAAGAGAGATCACAAGTAGGCAGAGAGGCAGGCAGGGGGTGGGGGGGAAGCAGAGAGCCCCATGCGGGCTCGATCCCAGGACCCCAAGATCATGACCTGAGCCGAAGGCAGAGGCTTAACCCACTGAGCCACCCAGGCGCCCCTGAATGGTAAATACTCTAATTCTCTTTTTCACTCATTAGCTCAGAAATGCCTGGTTTGGCTGACCAGATAAAATGCCAAAAATATAAACCCCCTTTTGGAAAAAGCCTGGCCAAGTGAGGGGAAAAACCCAGTTTTCTTAGAATAAACAATTATTTTATCCATTTTTCTAAACCTATATTCAGAAATACAAATAAAATTAAGGGTAAAAATTTTAAATAGGAATTGTCTGCTGCTTCCCCTCCTACCAAAACAACTATTAACATACAGTATGAAAGAGCAGTGCTTTGATGAATTATGCACCACTTTCCTCCTAACCTCACTATGCCCCCATCCACTGCCTACTTGCAGTTCCTCAAACAAATCGTGCCTTTTTCCTTGCCCCCCATCCCGGATGGCTCTTCTCCTCACTCTTTGTCAGGTTTACCTACCTGCCTCTAAGGTCTGCATTTAAATGCCATTTCTTCAGGGAGTCATCTTACATTTCTTTCTACTATCCTATAGTTTTTCTTCATAGCACTTACAATTTGTAATTATACCCACACAAAGATATACCTAAAGTCTCTTACTTTCTAGACTGTAATCAAAAGCTCTCGGTTTTATCCAACACCTAGAACAGTGCCTTGCACAGTTGGACCTAACACTCACCTTTTTTAAAATAGTTGAATTAATACAGAAATATTTTGTAAATTTGACTTAAATTAACAGGCAAGTGACAACAATGAGGTTCTATAGGACTTTATCATTACGTGCCAAGCCCTCTACCTCCCTTCTCCCTATTGTAACTTAACACTCATTTGCATCCTTACTAGTCATGTGGGCAAGAATCATTATTCAGTTGGATGATTAATCATGACCTCATAAGGATTCCAACTTCTACAGAATTGTCAACTGCCAATCATCTTTCCTACAGTAGCCTTCAGTGTCCCTCCCGGAACACCCAGAGTGTTCTTTAAAACCATAGATCACATGTTCAAGTACATTGTCATCACCCTGTTATTTTCAGTATTTTTAAATTGTTTGAGGCTACTAGCATCATCTAGAAACTCATACAAAAATGATGAGCTCATGATTTTAGTGACGTGGTACTTGTACCATACTATCCTTCAGTATGTCCTTCTGTGCAGTGTGACTGACACATTGAGCTTCTCTTTCTGGCTACAGCAGATTTTATATGAAAAAGAGATGAAAGATTCTAGGACAGGAAGGGAAAAAGAAAGGAAACTACCATTTATTGAGCACATATGAGCCCAATACTCTACAAATGTATATTCTTGTTCAGTCCTTACAACAACCCTGTGAGTAGGTATTATCCCCATTTCACACATGAGGAATCAGTTTTCTGACAATGTAGATTGTTTCTTGAATTTTTCTGTTGACATTAACTTCCATTTATTTACTTTTTTTATTTACTTTTATCCTCCCTATTGTAGAGATTTTGGCAGCTGTGTACAAGAAAAATCCTCCTTTACTCAATAAACATTAATTTAACTAAATAAATTTCACAGTACGTCAATAAATGATTGAATCGGAAACTACTATCCTTCTGTCCCAGATTGCACCCTTTTATAACCCTTTCAAAGACCTCTGGACTACTAAGCATTCTTTCTTGGCTTTCACATTTCCTACTTATTAAACACACACATAGTACATAGTACATTGAACAACAGAGCGATTAAGAGTGCCAACCCCTGCACAGTCAGAAATCTGTGTATGACTTTTGACTCCCCCAAAACTTAGCTAGTAATAGCCACTGTTGACCAGAAACCTTACCAAAAACAGTCAACACATATTTTGTATGTTCTATATATTACATACTGTATTCTTATAATAAAGTAAGCTAGAACAAAAATCATAAGGAAGAGAAATACATTTATAAGCCTGCACTGCATCTCTCAAGAAAAAAACTCCATGTATAAGCGGACCCACATAGTTCAAACCTATGTTGTTCAAGGGTCAACTGTGTATTCCTAACAGCCTAACGGACTCTCTTGGCTCAGTCTCCCTAGTTTTATGGGGACCAGGAAGCTAGTCTGATGAACAATAACTGGTGAATGTTGTTAATCATGAAAGGACCCCTCCAGCTTCTAGTTAAAAGTAGTACCAGCAGAGTTCACTTGTCTCGTAGACCAAAAGAATCCATCTCTCCCTTATCTATACCCACAAAGAAACTTGGAAGTTTTCCTTCGTGGTCCTCCTCCAGTCCTGCATGAATGGACCAAGGCTGAGGAACTTCATCTTCTTCCTCCACCCTCTGTTTGAAGGATGACCCTGGTCCATGTCTGTACTCTTGAACAAAGAGAACCTTTGATTTTCTTTCTCATCATCTTCTTTATTGGCTCTCTATTCTCTCAGTTGACTCCAACTTCTCTGGACCCTAAAATAATCTAGATAAAAGCATGCTTCAAGTGGACACCAGCCTGTGGTGGGATGACCAGCTTATTTGTGCAATGCCAGACAAAAATTGTAGATCTCTAAGACTTGCTTTGTAATGGGACCATCCACCTCATCTACCAGGGGTCTCCAGGGTTGAGACAGCAGAAATGAAACTCTCCTTCTCAGTCTCCAGGGTAAATGGAGTGTAGAGCCTCAACTAGCATCATTTCAGGAATCTAGGGAAATGTTAGGGGAATATCCTATTTCTCCCTTTATGTCCCACTAGAAAGCTATTCTCCATTCTTGGATGAATCCATCCCAATAGCATGTGATCACCCACAAATGTTTCTTTCCCCAGGATCTTTAGAGGATGCTGTAGCTGTAGGAGAGGCTGTCCACGCTGATTCCCGCCACAGCTGCATACAGTTCAGGCACCACTAACTCAGGTACTTGCAACACAGCTTTGTCATCTGCAGTTCGAGTGGCGATTTCTACACGTGAGTGCAGCTCTCTCAGTGAAGGGCGGCTTTCCTCACTCCAGCGCCAGCAAGACTTCATAAGACCATACCTGAAAGGGAAATAAGAGAAACTGGCTTCCCTGACAAGGCAGATGTTTGAGGAACATGTCTCTTCTCCTTACAAATCTTAACAACAGTAGCAACAAACTCTGCAGTTTTCATCTCTTTCTCATTGTCCTCTCCTGTTCTCCCTGGAGAATAATATTCCTTCTCCTCCTCTTAGTATTAAATCGCTTAATACCATCTTCTTATCAGGGTCCTTTTTATAAGAAGAATGACTGAAGTTTTCTCAAACTAGAATCAGTATGACAGAACAGTGTTGTTGTTGTTTTGTTTTTTCATTCTATTGCCCAAAACTCTGAGAACTGAAGTGTTCTCATCCTTTAGATGTTACTAACTTGTAGCATTCCAGACCATAACTATAAGGTATCTCCCAGTAAAAGTTACCTCACAGCCAACAAAATAAGAAGCTATGGAATAATGTGATTCACCCGAATTTTGAATAATCTAATTAATTAGATGTTTCCTTTCATTAATGCACGTCGTTGACCTCCTTTATTACTTAGTTTCTCCAAGAAATTGTCTTAATCTAGATAAAGCACTTACCCACCTTTAAGCTGTCTTTTCTTCAATCCGAAGAATTTACAAAGAATTTTACAAAGAATTATTTTACAATTTTACAAAGAATTAATAATGTAGTCTGTTATCAAGCACTTCTTGTCATGTCTTATCCTTCTCAGGGACCCACAGTGGTGTCCCACTGTCTGCTATGTAAAACTGACATCCTACCTGCTAGCTTCTCTTTCTCAGAGACCTAACATTGCCTAACTGAACGCCTCTCCTCCAGCCAAGTCAGTGTCTTGCTATACCTTAGATGTTAACACCCCATCTTTCTTCACCCCATCTAACTCTGTCTTTGCTCATGCTATGCCCAGTTCCTTGAGCATCCTGTTGATGGTCATTATTTCCTACAGGTTTGTTTTAGATCTCAATTCTTCTAGGCAACCTTACATGATAAGCCTCAGCTCACACTGAGTCTCCCATACTCTTTATTGCTGTACAATGAGACTGTGTAAAAGATGCTAATTTAATAACACTTAGAAACATTTAGCAAGAACTTACTTATTTTATTTATAAGGCATGGTAGTGGAACTTGACATGCATTATTTTATTTTAGCCTCACAACAACTCTGAGGTAGGATTATCATTATACCTATTTTAAGATAAGTAAACAATGTTCCATAAAGTAGCAGGACTAGGAGTGAACACGGTCTTTTTGACCCTATGACAAGAGTCTGAGCTTTTAATCCTTCTTTTATGTTGCCTCCCACTTTATCTTGATTTTCAGGTTTTTTTAGACATCCACATATTAAATTCTTCAACATCAGATATTTTATTGGTTGTCCCTTCCCCCAATTACTTTATTGGTTGTCCCTCCTCCCATATAAAGGACAGATTTTTACACATAGAAAAAAACCTATAAGAAATATTTTTCAATAATCATTCCAGTATACCCAGATAGTATGATTATACTGTATCCATGCTTGTGTGTGTGTGTGTGTGTGTGTGTGTGTGTGTGTGTATATATATATATATACAGTTTTGATGTTTAACATTTATAATCTGCCCGATACAGTAGCTATTTATTGATCCGGAACTCTGGTGATGGAAATTTCAATGCTGAAGAATTTTTAAAATAGCAATAATTTTATCAGAAACTTATATTAATATATCCTCCCCTGACTTCTTACAAATATTTTAACCTTTTCTTATATTCTATAACAATCCCTTTTTGTAAATTATAGGTTATAAAATTCTGTGTATACTTTTTAATTTTTCCATTTTCTGCCTCTGCACTGGCTCATCAGCTGTTCCCCTTCTGCTGACATTATTAGATACTCCTTCTCCCATCTTTCTAATTTCTTCCTACCCACCTTCTTCTTGTTGGCTCCTAATTTGCTCAGAACTGGAAAAATAGTCAATTTTTTTTAAAGTTAAATACTAAATAAGAACCAGTGAATAGCTGCAGAGCAATGGATTTTATGGCAGCTATATCAGAACTGAGGCTGGCAGTCTCTGATTGACACTGACATTTAGACAAGCAAAACACTACTGTATTTACATTGGATCTGGTCCACTTCTTACCTATTTTAGAAGCTTCTGGAAGAACTAAACTTTATCAACTTAGATTCCTAATATAGTCTTCAGCCGTTGTCTCAACACTGTGTGTGTATACGTGTATACACACACATATACATATATATGTATATGATATATGAGCAGATGTATGTTACTGCATAGGTTTGTATGTATATTATATGTAGTATATTAGGCTGTATATTAACACATAAAGGGCAGCTAGGGATTATCTGAGCCACTTTAAAAGGGCGCAGTTGATGAGGATCAAAAATGAGTTGTAATGAGAGAAGAGAAGAGTAGACCCTAAAAGCTACTTACATGGTATGTGTGCAACTACTGGGTCTCTTCATGATCTTCCTTCTTTGGAGATATTGTAAGATGCTCGTAGGAGGGACTTCAGGATATGGTGGTGCCCCTGTTGGTATGGAAAAAATGAGAGTAGCAAGGGAACTTTAGGTCCTCTAGAATATGAACTATAACATGACTCTTTATCCACCTGGGCTAACTGCCTGCAAATGATAGGGCCAAAGGAAAAATGTTAGATATAATATAGTTGCTCCCCGGTGATCCAGTAAGAATGTAGCATAGAGAGTTTGGGCGTTTAAAAAAAAAAAAAATTTTTTTAATTTTTTTCCAATTTTCTTTCCAATTTTTTTCCAATTTTCCAAAATTTTTTTCCAAAAAAAATGCTGGTATTTTAGGGAAATGTTGAGTCTTTATAAAAGTAACAGAGAAAAGTGAGAGATGAGACCTGCTCTCCACTTCCCAAATGTGGGAGAGTACTGCATTTTCTCTATCAAATGGGTTAATAAATTTAAGGACAACATATTTATGTTCATGCAAAGTCATTGTTGGAATTATTCTTTGGATTTTCAAACCTCTTTTGGAATTGGTAAATGTTGAGGGAAAGAAAGAAAAAGAAAGCAAATAAAGTTAAAAGGAGTAAAGGGATTTCATGTCAGCCCCGTTCAAACCTCATATTGAAACCTCTTCCCATAGCATATGTCATCCCCCACCCCAATAAACATACTTTATATTTGCATACAGGCAGTACTTTAGGGACCCTCCTTACCTAGAGTCACCATCTCATAAAGCAGGATCCCAAAGGACCAGCTGTGAAAGAAACAAAGCCATTTACTTAATTTCTATTTCTTCCTTTCCTAAAGAGAGTACTTAAACTATCAGGGGCCTTCGTAAGAACCATATAAAGGCAACACAGGGGAATTGAAGGTGTCTCATAACATAAAGTAATTAGAAAGCATTAAGAAGTATTTCTGTTCAATCCCCATCAAGTCTAATCTCTTTGCAGAGTGGTTGTATGTCTCCTTTCTTCTATATTTCACATTAATGGATGTTTATTATCAATTGCTAAATTGTGGGGGTGTGTGTTTATGCAAACACACAAACACATCTACCCAAACATAAAGAAACTACTTTCTGCATCTTTTTCATCCTTTCCATTCCTTCCTGCTGAAATTCTAGCCTTTATTCTTAGCACAAGTCCCAGTGAGGTTTATCATTTATCTACTATTTCCTCCATACATCTAACTGCCCAAACCTAGGAAAAATATTAACAGAACAAGCTTACACATAACAGAAATAGATATTTGTCAGAGCAATATGACTTAAGACATGTTAATTTCACTATTCTATAATATCACCATTAAACAAGCAATATTTCCCAGGTAAGCTTATTATTCCCAGACCTCTACTGAAAAGCAGATGGCAGTGAAGCAGCAATGGGAATCTCTTAATTGACTCACCATATTAACTGACGTTCTAAATTTCCTCTGCTGCTCATGACATTCATGCTAGTAAGATATTATATGTTTTTTTAAAAGATTTTATTTATTTATTTGACAGAGAGAGAGATCACAAGTAGGCAGGGAGTCAGGGAGGGGGGGGGAAGCAGGCTCTCTGCTCAGCAGGGATGCTGAGGCAGATGCGGGGCTCGATCCCAGGACCCTGATATCATGACCTGAGCTGAAGGCAGCAGCTTAATCCACTGAGCCACCCAGTTGCCCCTTATATGTTACATCTATGTGCTTCTCCAAGCTGCTGAATTATATGGTTACCTAAAGTCAATTGTTATTCTTTACAGTGCTATACCATCAGATAAATCAATGTAATTATGTAACCAGTTAAATATAAATGCAAAGAAGTATTAGCTCCTGAAAACTAGGCTGAATGCTTTGAAAGTATACTATAAAAATACACTGCCAAAAAGAAAGGGTTGCCAAATTGCGTGGGTGAGCCGACAGTAGAAAATTGGAAAAAAAAAATCATCATCAGCGGTCAAATTGCTTTACCATTTTTTTCAGATTTTTCACTCAGATTCATCCCAAGCTGAGCCTCAAAATTAATGTGTTATGGGTGCTATTTATACACAAAATACAATGTATAACTTCATTTAGCAGGTCAATCCTCTAAAAAAGGCTTTGGCCTTCCCTCAAAAGATCAATCAATAAATATGTATTTTCTTTTCATTGTAATAATTCCTGGCTTAACAGAACTTTTGATTAAGTGGACCCACCTCCTTCAGAGAAGAGGGACTCTACTACATTAAGTCCTTGGATATTGGTATGAAGAACCTTTTCACGTTTCTTTTCTCTTTCCTAATTAAAACTGCTAATCTAATACAGAAGGAATACTTTAAAAGGCACTAGAAAGGATTGCAGTCAGATGCCAAGTATGAGCTCTGTCACAAAACACACATTTCTCCTGGAGAGTCTGTCTGACTTCTTAGTAGAGATTTCACAGGTAGACATAATTGACAACAGATGCAGTCATGGTCAGGCTCTGGAGGACACCTAGGTCAAGAAGGGAAGAAGTCCAAAGGGCAGGAACAAACCGTACACATCTCCTCTGATGCCAGCTGATCTCAGCAGAAGTCGTTCTGGGGCAAGCCACTTGAGAGGTACAGAGTGAGTAGCTGGGATGGCCCCTCGGGCATGGACTTCATAAGCCAGGCCCAGTCCACAGAGCTTGGCAGTAAGATCACTTTGGATCAGGATATTCCTAGCTGCTACATCCCCATGGAACAGATGCTTATCCTGGAGAAATTCCTGTCAGTATAAGATCAAAGATGGATCAGCTGTCTGAGGTCATGGCTCCAGTCAAAGACCAGGAGAAGCAGTCCTAGGAATCCTCAAAAAGACAAGGACACTTTCAACTTTGAACAAGTCTCGTTGATAATGACAGATCACTTCCAAATTACCATAATGGATCAGACATTTTTGCATTATGGTTAGGATTACCAAACTGAGCAAATAATCCAAATAGCATTAATAATAATCCAAATAGCATTAATAACATAATTAATAGCATTAATGAACTGAGTAAATAATCCAAATAGCATTAACCCAGTATTGGGTTAATAAAGTGATCATACGGTCCAAACCCAGTATTGGGTTAATAAACCCAATACTGGGTTTGGACCGTATGATCACTCATTCTGTGTCAAGGTCTGACCCCTGCCTGAGTTTACATTTCTCTTGGATGGGTTCCAGCTAGATCCTGGAAAAGGAAACAGGTTTCAAGTATCTAGCAGCAGTCCCCCAAATAAGGTGATACATACAAAGTGAAATTGAGTGTCATAATATTGAATTTATACAGAGATTTATATCATCTCCTTCTGCCCCTAAAATAAGTAGGTCAGATGAGTTAGGGAAGTATCTTTCAGATAAATCTAAATGATTACATAAGGTCACACAGTTTCAAGTGGTAGTGACCAGAACTGGGTATTCTAATTCATAGGAAGTACTACAAATTCTGCTAATAATTCTCTAGCCAGCCTACAAATCAGAATTGCCTGAGAGCTTTTTTAAAACATATGATTTTTGGCCCAGGTTTACCTAACCAAAATCTAGGAAGAAGGACCTGGTAATCTCTATTTTTAAGAAGTATCACAATGATTCTAGCACAGCCAAAGCATTTGAAAGCCATTGTGCCTGGATGGCACGGATTTGCTGCAATCATTTCCCCAAACAGGAGGCTATTCAAGGTATAAGAACCTGAAAAGCTATACATGACCAAAGAGCTAGAGATTGAGGTCTATGATTGCTAAACAAGAATAACATACATACATACATACAAACATACATACATACATAAAAGGTTAAGATGGTCATTTCCAGTCTCTGATGTTAAAGAAAACAGTACCTAGCAGCTTTCTGTCCCTGGTGAGGTGAGGTTTTAGGACAAAGAGATTATACTGTCATGAGAAGAATTAAAGAATGTAGTGACTTTGAGGTTGTCAAAGTAAGAAAAAAAAATAGTATGACAATGCCTTGTACTGGTAACCCAGACCCATGATCAGTGCATCCCTTTGGGGAACCACTGCAATTGTGGTTCAGAATATGAGATAGGCTATATCCTGACACCTTAACTTTATCGGGGGAGCATACCAACTAGGCCCTCCAAATACTGTGGATAATATTCATTTCTACGATGTGCTCTCTCCTATGCCATGGGAACTTCCACTGTTAACTACTCCTCCTTCTCACCTCACGGCTTCTTTTCTAAGCTTTCCCAGATTCCATTTAGATCCCTGATACATTTCACACCTCAAGGAGGCAAGATATATCAACTATCTAAAATAGTAGTTTCACAGAGCCTGATTTTCTGTATAGTAAATGCTAATTTTAAGCACAGTTATCTAAATAACTTCATAGAAATAGTCATCTAAATTTCCTAATTCTGGTAAATGTACATTATTTTTTCTCTTAAACCCTTTAAACCCTATTTTTCTCTTACCTCTTTATTTAATTAAGTTGGTTTAGAATGAAGGCTTGATCCCTTTTTATTTCTTCTTTTCCATTTGTTTGTTGTTCTTTTTAAAGTATGTTTATTTCCTATCACATTCAGCATCAAAGCACGTCTCCAGCCAAACATGTTCTGAACTCGTCTTTCTTGTTTTTCAGGCATAAAACTGTGTGCTTCTTTTAGCTCTGTAGCGTTTCACCCATTTGGTTTCTCTTCCCAACTCATTCACTATTTGCCATTTTACATATCTTTTTTTTTTCATTTTACATATCTTAATTTTAGTATATAAGGGGAAGTAAGAATGTCAAGCATATAGTTCTTGGCCCTGGTTGTTGACCACCTTTTAAAATCCTTCCTGTTCCTTCTACAAACCCTACGACTTTCTGCCTAGAATTACCAATCTTGTGGTATATTATCTAAATAATTTCATAAAGAAAGAACTGAAAACAATTTATCAGTGCTTGAGTTTCTGCCCCTTAACTTCCATCCAGTTTTCTTAATGATCTATACCACTTGGAAATATAAATATGAGAAATATGATGTCAAATATTGGGCTAACAAGAAAAATCCATACCAACTGTTGTCATTTTTGCCCAGCCTTACCAAAGCCAGGAGGACCTGCCTCCCAATGTGATAGACTTGTTTTTCTGTGAGATCATAGAGAAGGCCATCCATGGTCATTACATCCTAAGAGACAAAGAAAAAACATTATATCAAAATGACATGAACAGATTTAAAAAAATAAAATAAGGGCAGAGATATTCTTAAATTCAGATGTCAAGGCTAAGGAAAAGATACAAAAACATAGGGATGAAGATTCAAGGAGAGGTTAATATGAGAGATGCTCAGATATGCAAAGAAGTACAATGATATACCGACCTAGAAAAACAATAGTGTAGATCAATAACAGAATGAAGGAATAACAGAACAGCAGTTAAGAATTGGAAGGGGAGATGAACCATGAGAGACTATGGACTCTGAAAAACAATCTGAGGTGTTTGAAGGAGGGGGGGCTGGGAGGTTGGGGGAACCAGGTGGTGGGTATTGGAGAGGGCACAGATTGCATGGAGCACTGGTTGTGGTGCAAAATCAATGAATACTGTTATGCTGAAAATAAATAAATAAATTTAAAATTAAATAAATAAATATTGTGTCCAGAGGAAAAAAAAACCTGATATGCATAAGACTATCCCCTGGATGAAGCAACAGTTTTCCTGAGGCCTGTGTATGTGTGTGATTAATTAAGCACATTCACTCAGCACGTTACTGAAGGCCTACTATGTGCCAGGTTCCATCTTGGGAACTCAGAACACAAGAGTGAGTAAATTAACACGTCTGCTGCCTTCTGGACCTCGAAGTATATAACCATATATAAACATATGGTTACATATCTATAAGCTCCATGAAGGACATGAAAAGAGAGCAGATGATGGTGACAAAATTTAAAGATCTGAAGGATGAGCAGACAATGACTATGCAAAAACGTAAAAAAAGGAAAGGGGAGACATTTGGTGTAATGCGAGAAGCATGTGTAGATGGTCTAAAATAGAGAAGCATAATCGTTTTGAAAAACAAAATAGCAAAGTTCGAGCAGAGAACAAGTTACAGACGAATAACCTCTTACAAAGGTTTTAATGCCTCAAGACTTGCACATTGTCCTATTTGCACCACCAGATGTAAGGCATTAACAGGGTCCCTTTATCATACACATTTAGTAGTAAAGTAATCAGTCTTTGGAGGAGGCTTGGTTAATATTAAACTTGTAAGTGAGGAACTAACTAGGGAAACATGCAGTACTTCAGATAGAGGAATATGTAGAGAAGCAGGAAAACTGCAAGGAAAAGGACCTGCACTTTACTCTGGAAATTTCTGAACATCTAAATTTGTTTAAATATGAATTTGAAGTACAGTAACTTTCAAGCTGGATTTCTCCTTATCGACCCTGGCATATTGGAGTGATGGTATAGAACAGAAGACACATTTAAGACTAACGCAGTAAAATTACAATCCATACTAACAGTAGTTTTTACATACATAATTTCTGTTAACTTTAATAGTAACTTATTATTATTCCCATTTTACAGGTGCAGAAAATTCAGGCTCAGAGGGGTGACTTGCCCAAAGTCACATAGCTCGTAGGATATAAAGTGCAAAGTTCATACTCCAAATCTGCACTATCCCATATGATAGCCATTAGCACATGTGGCTATTTGTTTATCATTTAAAATTAAATAAAATTTTAAAAATTCAGTCTCTCAGTCACATCAGCCACATTTCAGGGGCTTCAAATGTGATTAGTGGCTACCATTTTGAACAGAGAAGATAAGAGAATTTTTCTGTCATCGTAAAAAGTTCTATTGGATGGTAATACTCAATCACTATCATGTTGCTATAAGATCTTTCTGCTTTGTCATTGGCCAGGCTACTTGACATGTGAACAGCTCATCAGCCAGGTCAAGCCTTTCCTTCCCAACACCTCTACCCTGCTGCTCACCCGCCGACAGGTCCAGAGAAAGCTGAGCAGGTCCCCTTGGGCCACATCCTCCAGCACCATATAGAGTGGCAGCTTCTCCGTGCAGCAGCCTTCCAGCTGCACCAGGTTCCTGTGTTTCCCCAGGTACTGATAGAATCGGACTCGCCCTAAGAAATCCTGTACTTCCTGGAGCCCAGTCGGTTCTGTGGAGGACAGATGAGCCATGGGAAGTGGTCAGAACATGATCAATACAATGGGAGGTATGAGGGAAGACGATGGTAATTTTCAAGACTCCACAGGAGAAGAAATACTGACAAAAGGTAAAGAGAAAGGGGAATTAATTAGAAGATAATTCTCAATGTCACTGATTTTTTTGTCAAAGCAAACAATCATAGGCTTTAGAACTGGATAGACTTTCATCTGCCTAAATAGACAAGTGTTCACATTCTAATATTATCACTGCCTAGGCCTTTCAATTAGTATTCTTGCTTATCCTATTTTTGTTCTGTTTTATGTATCCATTACTACTGGTCCATATAAAGAGAGAGAAAGGAAGGGGGGAAGGAAGGAAGGAAGGAAGGAAGGAAGGAAGGAAGGAAGGAAGGAAGGAAGGAAACAATATTAGGGAAAGTGATAGTGCAGACAAATGAAGGAACCACCTCAAAATCCTCAAGCACTAAGATTCAGTATGAAAAAATCAGTTCCAGCAGCCTCAATAGGCAACACTGAGCCAGGGAAAGACCCCAAGAAAAATATTTTTGCCTCCAGTTTTCACTTTCTACTCTTTTCTTCCTCTGCACACAACTGTGATCACAGCTATCCGTTGATTAACATCTTTTTTTTTAATTTTTTTTAATTTTTTAATTTTTTTTATTTTCAGCATAACAGTATTCCTTGTTTTTGCACTCTAATACCCACCACCTGGTTCCCCCAACCTCCCACCTCCCACCCCCCACCCCTTCAAAACCCTCAGATTGTTTTTCAGAGTCCATAGTCTCTCATGGTTCACCTCACCTTCCAATTTCCCCCAACTCCCTTCTCCTCTCTAACTCCCCTTGTCCTCCATGTTATTTCTTATGCTCCACAAATAAGTGAAACCATATGATAATTGAATCTCTCTGCTTGACTTATTTCACTCAGCATAATCATCTTAATGTCCATAAGCTCATCAGCATTCAGGGCTGGGGCTCACTGTGGGAAAGTAAAAAAGAGATAGGGAAGTCAAACACTTCTCCTTTTACCTTCCAAAGCCTTGAGGACAACACTCTTTGGCTTAGCAGGGTCCCCCGTGTACATCTTGGTTCGGTAGATGGTTCCACAATGACCACTGTGGATCTGCTCCAGAACTTCAGAGAGTTGCTCCCGGGGCACCTGCAGCTTAGCCAGAGCATGAGTGGTAGTCCGTAGGAGGCTTTCCACCGAGGTCTCCTTAAGTGGCACAAACACACTTCCTCCATGCCCTGCCGCCTCCCAGCTTAGGCCCCTAGATGGAGGCACAGGGCCAATGCCTAGAACAAAGAGATGATACTAGTCATCTTTACTCTACCTTAGGGGCTCCAGGAGAGCAGAGCCTGGAACACACAGACAGACGACAATGAAGTTCCTTTAGCAATTTTCTCTCTACGCGATGTGGTGGTACCTTGTGTGAACCAGCATCAACACGAACCTTGGAAAACATTTATAATAACCCTACTACTTCTAAGACAACTCAAGATGGACCTCTGAAAAGTGGTTATGTCATTTTCTTTCTACCTTTCTCAGGATTACAGCTCGGCATTAGTATAGAAACAATTAAGGACATTCCTGAATAGGTACTCAAACCGCTGATATCTATAAAGTGATGGTAACTACCACTAGGGACTAATGCTTAAGTCAATCAACTCGAAGACATGGTTATTCTTCCTCCCTTACGATGTCCCCAAAGTCAAATTATTGCATATTTCCTAGAGTCTTAACCAAAAAAATAAAAAATCTTCTGGTACTTTTCCCTTTTCTTAGTCAATTTTTCTCCATTGGAAAGAGAAATTCTTCTCATTAAACCACCATTCACTCATTAATCTATCCATTTATGTGACAGGTATCACATCCTGCATGCCAGGAACTATTCTAGGTGTTGGGAATAGGCAAAGTCCAGATTCTTATGATTACTTTCTTGTGGTAGGCTAGAGAAAGTAGATAATATCATACCAGGGGATGAGTGCTATAAAGGAAAACAGCAGAATCAGAGGCTATCTGTGATGCTATTTTATATTTCAAGGCCAGGACAGGCCTTTCTGATAGGATGACATTTGAGAAGTGCCTGGAAGCAATTAGAGACCAAACCATACTGGTATCAGGAAGGATATTACAGACGGAGGGAACAGGAAGAGCAGATGTATTGAGGAAGAAACATGCTTGGCATATCTGAGGAAGAGGAATGAAATTAGTACAGCTGGAGCCATGTGGGATAATTGGAGAATTACATGAGATGAGGCCAGAGTGGGCCCAGATTCTAGAAGGCCATTGAAAGAAATTTGTCTTTTTTTATTCTAAAAAATATTACATTTTATTCCAAGCAGAGAATGGCCAGGACTGATTTAGGCCTTAAAAGAATCATTCTACTGCTCTATGGAGAACAGTGGATGAAGGGATAGGGAGAGAATTAGGGAAACCAGTTAGAAGTGTATTGCAATGATCTATGAGACATGAGAGAAGCTTGCATTTCTTTTGAAGATAAGAGTTAACAGGATTTGCTAATGGATTGGATACAAAGTATGAGAGAAAAAGGAGTCAAGGACATCTGTAAGATTTTAGACTGAACACATCAAAAATCAGAGGACATTTCTGAGGGAATTTCAGGACCTTTGCTGTGGGCATATTACATACAAGATGTGTATTGGATCCAAACTGTGAAATTGAACACAGGAATCTGAAGTTCGGGGGGACTACAATTAGAAGAGAGAAAGTGTTTGAATCCATAAGACTGAAAATGAGATAATTAAGGGAGTGACTATAGATTTAAAAAGAAAAGAGTGTTTCAAGAAGGAGAAGGTGCAAATTTGTTCCAAATGCTTTTGACAGGTTGAGAAGAGGACTCAGTTATAGCTGTCATTGGCAATCTCAGAAAGAACTGTTTTGGTGGAGTGGTGGGGATAAAAGCCTTATTTTAATATGTTTGAAAGAGAATGTGACAAGTAGAAGTCATGGGAGTGAAGTTAGACCACTTCTCTGAGAAGTTTTTCTATAAATGAATTAGAAGAGAATTGGGTTAATTTCTTAAATTTTTATTTAAATTCAATTTACTTCACATATAGTGCATTATTAGTTTCAAGGGTAGAATCTGGTGATTCATCAGTGGCTTACAATACCCAGTGTTCATGACATCAAGTGCCCTCCTTAATGCCCATCACCCAATTCCCATTTAGAGAGGGAATGGGGATCAGCCACCAAACAGTTTCTGATCCCTGTCAGGACTTTTTTCTTCGTTTTACTCCTAGTTTCATGTAAACTAATTCACTTTCATTATACGCCCAGTGGTACTTCAGAACAGGACATTGTCTCCTACTTAATGCTCCAAAGACTGCTATAAAGGCCACCCCTTCTCATCGTACAGTCCAGAACACAGAGCAGAGCTGGGATGTATTACAGAGTAAAATATCATCCTTCAAGGCTGGTAAAAAAAAAAAAAAAAAGCCTAGGGCTTTACCTACTAAACTTCCTCCCCAATATGTAGACACTTACATGGCCAAATATTTGATAGTTCAATAGGACAAAGAAGATGGAAACAAGTCACATGAAGTCTCTTCTGCCCACTGTTGTTTCAACTAACAAGCATTACAGAGTTTCTACTCATGAATTCCTAGAGAAGAGCTCACCTTTCCTCAACTCCACAAGACAGGACCCATACTTCCTCTCCCGTAGCAAGGACCTCACCTTCTAGACTTGGGCTTACTGAGATGTGGGTCTTCCTTTTTGTCATCTCCATCTTCCCTGGCCCTCCTCCCAGCCCCAGTCTGAGTTTTACCTTGGAGTCCAGGAAACTGTTGTTGAGCTCTTTGACCTCTGATAAAAAGCCACAGGATGACAGCAAGAAGGATAAGGAAGATGCCAACCAGGATGGTTGGGATGATGATAATCTCGTACTGCTGCTCCCGGACAACTGGGTAGGAAATCAAGCAGGGAGAGGAGAGATTGCAGAAGAACCCCAATCTCACATCCACACAACCTCCCCTACCCACCAGTCCTCAGCTCCTCATACATGAGATGATCATCCCTTCCTTCTTCCCCTCCATTTCCATACAATGGAACCATTATTGGGAGCAGCTTTCTAATCAGAAACCCCAGTGTCCCCACATCTCAGTCTATCAAGTGCGCTCTATGTCTTATCTCTCATTTTTCGGGCTGAGGTGATGTAGGATGAAGTATGTAGCCTCTGGATCTCTGACTGGCAGTTGTCCCTCTTCAAAGACAATGACCTCTAGTGCCCATTCCTTTATGGACACTGTCTTCATTTCTACTAGTAGTCAACTCATCCTCCTTCTGGAATCTATGCAGACCTTAGTCTCTGTCATCCTGGAATCAGAAGATAGGCATCTCTGGTGTCTGCCCTTACCACACAGCTTGTCACTGAGACTGCATTCCAGTAGTATTCGTGCCATGCCCCTCTCATCTCCCAGGCCACACAGCTGTCCACTCCTTTGCTTGGCCCTCAGAGAATGCACAGAGCACCACTGAGAATAATTCCCAAGAATGGAGTTATTCTGAAAAAAATAAAACGGAGCATGCAGATAATTTTAAGACCCCTCAAAAGGTCATTAGGGGAGCTACTGGGTGGCTCAGTCGTTAAGCTTCTGCCTTCAGGTCAGGTCATGATCCCAGAATCGTGGGATCAAGCCCCGCATTGGGCTCCCTGCTCTGCCAGGAGGCTGCTTCACCCTCTCCCACTCCCCCTGCTTGTGTTCCCCCTCTCTCTCTGTCTCTGTCTATCAAATAAATGAATAAAATCTTTAAAAAAATTAAATTTAAAAAATCATTAGCTATTAAGTACATGGCTACCTGGAACTTTTTGAGTCATCCATTCATCTCTGTCCATCTACCTGAATTTGAAGTGTGAAGAACTTTGTTTTTTCCTAGCATTTTTGTCTTTCTTACTATACAGCAAATATAGCCCTGATCTGGCCTTATCCTCTCATGCCATTGTTTCTCAAATTATTTTAAAGTTTCCCCTCCTACCCAAGACCCCTGCTCCAATGATCAAATTCACCGTTCCCACCACCTGTGTGAGCATTTGTGGTCGGCAGGATTGATCTACATCCCCTATACTCCTAAGCAGGTTTAATTTTTTTTTTTTTTGGTGTATCCCTTATTTTTTAATTGGATTTTCCTCTGGTCATTATATTTAGACAGACACAGGCATTCATTCCTACTAGTATGTAGATTAAAGGGAGTTCCAGAACCAAGCCATCTTCTGTGTCTCTCTCTTAAAAAAAAACAAAATATATATATATATACATATATATATATTCATAAGTTTCAAAACTAAAAAAAAAAAAAACTAAAGTGATATACCATAAAAATCTTTCTCCCACCCCATCCTTCTCCTTTTATTCAGTTCACAGCTGTCCTCCAAGGAAACTAGCTTCTTGCTTACTGGGCCACAGATTCTTTAGGTGCATCAATTTTAACTGTATGGTCAGCATATATATGAAATTACAGCTCCCAAAACCCGGTTTGCTCTTTCTGAAGAGAACTGATGTCTATACATACATACGTATACACACACATACACACATATATGTAAGCTTGTAGATAGATATATTATAGATGTCTACAAACTTTATTTTGCTTTTGGTTAACAAAAGTCTTCCCTGATTCTAATTAATTCTGACTAATCTGAAAAAAAAAGTGATTTTTTTAAACTGTCCAGGTCATCCTAAGTATGTGATCTAGTTTTATAGTGATTTGCTAGTAAGAAAAATTTTACAAATCAGAATTGCAGAACACTATATTGTACATATGTGCTCTATACCATATATGTGGTTTTCTATTACATGTTGTGCTTTATTGTTAATACTAGGAACCACAATACGACTTATTGAGGCAGAGTCTCTTAGTGCCTGAAACACATACATAAAGTCTTCCAGTTTCAGCCTCACCCCCATTCTCACTCTTCTTGGAGCTCCATGAGCTTGTACTGTGAGACGAGAAGTAGACAATTTTCTTATTACTCAGAAGAAAGACAGGTGTGCAGCTGGTTGACAGAAGCCCATATATACAGAGGAGTAGGCAAGAGGAAGACCTGGGAAAGGAGAGGCACCTTGTGGACTTTTGCAGAACAAGAGATCTACAAAGTCAGTGAATTAGAAGATAACAATGTCCATCTTCTTCTAGTTTATAACCCAAGAAGGCAAGGTGAAAGGCATTTGGGAAAGTTTCCACATCACACAGACCATAGCACTGGTGCTAGGGCAGGAATCAGGGAGCTTTGAGATGGTAGAGAAGGAGAGGATCTTAAATGATAAGACATTAGCACGGTCAGGAGAATTCCAAAGCTGCTTGGAAATTTCTCACCGCCATTCTCATTCTTGTTCTCCTTTGCTCTTACTTCCCTTTAGTGCACTATCAGATGTAACTGTGTTCATTTAGGTAGCAGCCAGTTTAACGAGTTTGGTTTTCCCAGGAGTGTCCGTGGACATAATCTCTCCTAACCACAGTACAAGTAGAAAAAAAAGTCGGTCAGCAGCCAGCTCCAACTTGCAAGCTCCGCCCAGAAACCAAACTACACACCCACTACTACCTACCGCAGGAAGAAATGTAAAGGCCAATGTGCACACGGATCCTGCTAGAACTGCTCATGGCAGGCCAAACACAACAACAGGCATGCGGCCAAACATACCCACCCACACCCAGTGACTCAAATAAATCCCTGCTTATCCCCTTGCACCTGCATGCCACACTTATTACAGAGCACAGGGTGGTCATCTGGATACACTATGACCTCCTATTACATTTCCCAAACAAGGTTCATTTGTGTAGTTTTATTTGGGCATGGATACTTTGAAGAAGCTGGGTGTAGTTAACAACTAGAAGCCCAATGTAATTGGATGCTGGAGCAGGGAAACAAACGTGGGCGGGGGGGGTGGCTATGGTGAGGGCCACTCGCAGACTGCTTTCCAGGCATTTGTGCAATAAGCTCTTTCCAACTGTTACAGTTTGGCTATGGACATATGGAATATATAAAATGAGTCTAGAATTTTTAAGGTAAACACACCAGGCATTCCTGCCCCCAGGGGCATGGAAGCCTACACAGGAAGCCTTACCACCTTTAGAGCCCACCAAAGCACTTCTATTAGAAGATGCTCATATTCACTTGTAGCAACAATATTCCTCTCCATTGCTTTCCTCTCTGCAACAAAATATTCAGTTACCACACCACTTTGCCTGCCCCCTGTGTCAACCTGAAAAAAGACATGCCTTCATGCCAGAACCTTCTAGGATGACTCTTCCTCTTCGTTAGATTCTAACCTATCAGTGTTCTTGACCAACATTTATGTGCATATGGCTAATACTCTATCCCCTTTGATTACATCTAGATTACAGTTTTCTCCTTGTGTTAAGACAAAAATGTAGGGGCACTCTGCTGGCTCAGTCCACAGAGCATGAGACTCTTGATCTCAAGGTTGTGAGTTGGAGCCTCATGCTGGGTGTAGAAATTACTTAAAAATAAAATCTTTGAGGGGCGCCTGGGTGGTTCAGTGGGTTGGGCCTCTGCCTCCGGCTCAGGTCGTGATCTCAGGGTCCTAGGATTGAGCCCCGCATCGGCCTCTCTGCTCAGCAGGGAGACTACTTCCCCCTCTCTCTGCCTGCTGCTCTGCCTACTTGTGATCTCTCTCTGTGTCAAATAAATAAAAAAATCTTTAAAAAAAATAAAATAAAATCTTTGAAAAGAAAAAATGTACGTTGGCTACTCCTTCTCTTACCTAGACTATAAGAGAAGAAGTCCTTACATATATAAAACATTATCCCACAGTTCTCTCCCTATGCCATGTATTACTAGATTCAAGCCATTAGAATCAAGGATCCAGTAAAGTTGGGAAATTGTTTATTCTGATAATTCCATTTAATGGTTGGAAAATATGTACACAGCTTGCCTATAGCTTACGTATACCTACATCTAACAGTGCCAAATCTCCTCAGGTAGGGCTCCAATTAAAACAATATTATCGCCTCATTTGTGGTTATCATTCCTTATTTTCTCTCTTCTCAACCACTTCTGGCTTTCTGTTGGCATACTGAAAAGTTCAGCTCCCTTCTTGAATTGAGACTCTAGAGGAGGAAATAGAACAATGAAGAAGGAGATATGATAGGAAGAAAATGAGAGTGAAATGGGGGGTAAAGTTCAGCACAAATCTTTGCAAGATTACAGTCTGGAGACCAGACAAGTGAATGGTTATAACTGAAATGAAGCTAACTATGAACATAAACTCTCCAAACTCTTTTTTTTTTAAGATTTTATTTATTTACTTGACAGAGATCACAAGTAGGCAGAGAGGCAGGCAGAGAGAGGGGGAAGCAGGCTCCCCGCTGAGCAGAGAGCCCGATGCAGGGCTCAATCCCAGGACTCTGGGATCATGACCTGAGCCGAAGGCAGAGGCTTTAACCCACTGAGCCACCCAGGCGCCCCAAACTCTCCAAACTCTTATACGTAGGCACAATGCAAGCATAACACTATGCCACATCTTTGTACCTGCTTCATTACACACAAACACAATTCTATTTGCAAGAATAACACAACTCCTACTAGCAACACTTCTGTCCAGTGAGCACAATATAATCTCCCAGATATAGTCAGCAATTTACTCAGAAGTGTCCAGAAGAAATTCTTAACCAAAATACATCTACAAATAGACTTTAAGAATTAGGTCCATTCTTCTGTATTCCATCTGCCTACGTGTTGTGAGAAATTCCTCAGCTGAACTCTGTATAACACCTGGCCCCGTTCCCATAAGATATGATTAATGTTACACCAGCCTCACCCTCAAACTTTTCATCTGTGTGTCAACACAAGTGGGTCTGCCAGCCATGTTTTTTATGAAGACAAGCGACCCATCCGCCCAGATGGATGCCACGCTGGGTAAGGGAGCTATTAATAGCTGTGGGCTATGAGGCAGACAGCTCAAAGGCCTCAGGTGAGGAGAGTAAAATATATAGAAGTGGCAGCCCCCAGACTGAGGCATCCCACCTTCTACCTCACTCACCTTCTCTTCCCCTCCCCCTTCATCCCTACCCTTGAGCTGTCTAGCAAAACAAACCAAAACCAAAACCAAAAACCATTTACTGGAATGAACATCTTAAATTGGAAATGAGATAGAAAAGAACTGCTCAGCTCTATCTACAGGATTCCAAAATGACTTAATCTTTAACATTTTGAAGAGCAAGCTGTCCTTCCTATTTTCAGCTTTAATAAACATATGCTGAGCAACCACAATGTCCCAGGTATTATGTTAGGCATTTTCTCAGAAATGAGGAAACTGCAGCTCAGCAAGATCATGTTTTGAATACACCAGGGTTAAAAAAAAAAGTTAAAACAGGGGTGCCTGGATGGCTTAGTCGGTTAAACGTCTGCCTTTGGCTCGGGTCACAATCCCAGAGTCTTGGGATCAAGGCCCATATATGGCTTCTTGCTCATCAGGGAATCTGCTTCTCCCCCTGCCTAACGCTCCCCCTGCTCATGTGCTCTCTTTCTTTCTGCCAAATAAATACATAAAACTTTAAAAAAAATTAAAACACAAAAAAGCAAGTAAATGACACAGCAAGGTTTCATGACCCAGTCTATTAATTACAGACCCAATATTCCTTAAACTACTTTACTACACATCTGTACTTGTCATTCAAATGGACAAGACCAACAGTGTCAAAAAAGAATTATGTCAGAATCCAAAAGAATCACAGAAAGCATAATGCTGAAACCAAACTTCACCAACAAATACAACATAATTTGGGAAGGGCAGGTGAGTAGTTCTCCAAGATCTTACAGGGGCACAGACAATGTCTGCATGTCTGTCTTCAAAACGTTTCAGAAAATAAAAGTAGCATCAGAAACTTTTCCCAGGACTCACCAGATCATAGAATCCTGGATCATTTTCTTTGTTTGCTCACTTTCCTGGATCTCATCTCAATCCTTTTTCTACCTTCTGCTTTTTGAGAAAAAGGGTCTAGCTTCCAGAACTAGCAATCTTTCACTGAGAGCATGAGGGTCAGGAAGGGGCTAGAACTCCCAGGACACAGGGCACTGGCCTCAGGGGTAGAACACCACGCAGCACCCAAACCTCCACCTTTCTCTTGAAGCACACTGGTCAGAGGACAAAGAGTAAAGAGAAAGGCACATTGAAAGACACTCTTTCAATCCAGAAAACCTGACCAGTGTCGATAACTTGCCTTGTGCAGCATGATACCAGCTAGTGTGGATGAGACAAAGAGAGGGGGAGGTTACCCAGAAGGAATCCCTTGTCCTCCTGTTCTTCTCAGATGCTGAAGGATTTTGGTTGTTCTGATCTTCAGCCTCCCTCACTTTCCTAGAAACCCGGAGTTTGAAATGCACTTACAAATGGTTGGAAGAGAGTCTTCTGTGGTGTCTGGGAATCCTGGCCTTGTTTAAACAAAGGTTCTGGAGCTCCTGGGTGGCTCCGTGGGTTAAAGCCTCTGCCTTCGGCTCAGGTCATGATCCCGGGGTTCTGGGATCAAGCCCTGCATCGGGCTCTCTGCTCAGTGGGGAGCCTGCTTCCCTTCCTCTCTCTCTGCCTGCCTCTCTGCCTACTTGTGATCTCCCTCTGTCAAATAAATAAATAAAATCTTTAAAAACAAAAACAAAAAACAAAGGTCCTGACCTTCTTTTAACAATGAGCTTAAGTGTTATCAACTTTTCTTATTTTTACATATCTACAGGAATTCCTAAAGCATGTGCTACACGGGTAGAGACAAGAAAGCTTAACTTCCATCCTGGTACTGCCCAAAAAATTTGCTTTATAGAGGAGCAATGTGTTGCAAGACAGGCTCCCTAACATCTAGGTAAGAATTACAGTAACACTACATGCCCCATCAGATTTTAAATATGATTACAGAGATTACATTTTATTTCCTTTGAGGTGTTGTACAAATTCAAGACATATTATTTTTATTATAAGGATCATTCTATTTTGCACATTCTTGATTCCATTATTCTCCATCTACCACATTTGAACCTCAAAAGCCCAAAAATAACATATATATTTCAAATTAGATATTCTCCCACTGACCGTTTTCTGTTCCTGAGATCACTAATGAACAACCATTTCCCCAGTCCAGGATAAGGCTTCTCAATCAGGGAAAAGCCAAGGACACATAACTACCTCCCACCCCTAAACACAGAATTGCTTCTGTTCCATCTGCGTGCCCTTTCTCCTACCTTATGGACACACCAGAAGACACCTGCTGGGGGCTTCTCTCAAACACCTCTCTGCTACTGTCGTCAGTCACAGTGTGTTTCCAAGGATCAGTCCCCGTCACTCTGCTAGACTTTTTCTTTCAGGGTGGTGGGGAGACTTCTGGTACTTTAAAAATCTTGGCAGTTTCCCCCATAAATGAGAAGCCCTTTGTTGCTCTGCCACTTCCCCAGCCTATCCTAGTACATTGCCCTCTGGCAGAGAGGAGAGCCACACTGAACAGGACAGAAGGAAGACATTTTGTGAAAGACTGAAGGAACACGTGTGCACACGCACACATGCACACTTTCTCATGGTCTAATAAATGAGTCCCAGACCCAGGCAGGCAGAGAGAAAAATGGGCAGACGATTTCACAATCAGGAAATCAGCTCGACTGCCGTTTACCTCAAGGCCGTGTCATCCAGGGTGTGTCCCTCTAAAGATTCTATACATAGAAGGTAATCCTAGGTAAACAACAACAAAGGCCTGGCAAGATGAAAAAGATGCCTCTGGGAATGTCATTCTGCACCTCAAGGAGCAAACAGCAGAGTCCCTCTTCAGGAGTGGGTCAACATGCTGCAGAGCTAAGCATTCTGGAAATTATGAGACATGGAATCAGCAAAGAGCTGGTGCTATGATAACAGAGTCAGAGGTCTGAGGTCCTGGTCTGGCTTGATAGGTTATTCATCAAGCATCCAGAGGCATAATACCAGAACTTGCCATGCCTTCCCTTCCTCATTTAGGGAGCAGGACGCCTCTTTCTCTCCTGAGGGCAGCGAAGAACCACAGAGAGCAGCAAGAAATGAATCCCACCAGAGGGCAGGGCAACCAGCAAGTCCCCTCAAGCAGCTCTACCACCTTGCCTCTCAAATTCTGAAGACTCCTTCAGACCAGCATCTTCTGACCCATATCACAGAAGCCCCAGAAACTCTCAAGTTTCATTCCTATCCCTACCCTAACTATAATTCCCTGTGGGATAGTGGTAAGAGAAGGAGATTTGGAATCAGACTTCTATTTGAATCTCAGGTCCACCATTCATCATAACTGCATATAAGTCATTCTCACTTTTCTGGGCCTGTTTTTCCACTTGTAATTAGAGACCATAATATCTATCTGTCAAGGCATTTGAAAGCTCTACAGGATACTTTATGTAAAAAACCTAGTATAGTGCCCAACCCATGACAAACAGTCAATACGTCGCAGTCTCTCCTCCCTTCTTCCCCCCTTCACCTATGTCCCAGGCTGGGGAGTAGCTGTACCAATCATTAAGCATCTATAACTCTGAATAAGAAAACAAAACATCTATTATCAAAACATTTATATATGTGGATCTTGGAAGAGATTGTGATGATTATGAATCCCATAATTATGATTTCTATCACCACTGAAAAAAGGGACTGTTTCCCAGGAGATACTAAATTACAGCTAGGTTGAGAACTATTAAGATTGATTATCATTATGTGGATTATGCATAATATGCATATTATGGTTACTTGTTTGGCAATAATAATTTCCATCCTTCATTCCTATGCAAAATTAAATTTTAGTTGTAAAAATGATTATATGTTTTAAGAAACAAAAAATAACAGTGTAAGTTATATTGGATTGGTGAGGATTTGATAAGTCTAAAAGAGAAGACTCCTAGGGCGCCTGAGTGGCTCAGTTGGTTGAGCGCCCGAGTTGGGATTTCAGCTCCAGTAGTGACCCCCTCCCATGGAATTGAGCCCCCACTAGGCTCCAGGCTCAGCCTAGAGTCCACTTGTCTTTCTCCCTTCCCCTGCTTTTGTGCTCGCTCTCTCAAATAAGTAAATATTTTTAAATAGAGAGAGAGTGAGAAGATACCTTCCAATAGGGAAAAAAAATCACAAAGAAAGGATCAACCAATGAATAAAAACAATTCTATGTAACTTAGTAACTACAGTAAGAAAATTACTAAGATGACAATAAATAAATGGTCATGAAAAGTGAAAAACAAAAGAAAATCAACACACCGAACTAAAATGTTAATATTTAACAAATATGGAAGAAGGGTAATGTAAGATCAAAGATGTTTACCTTAACTAGTAATTAAATAATACAGATTCAAGTAAAAACAAGATGCAAATATATTTGCCTATCCACTTAAGAAGGAAAAAATGAAAGAGAATTCTGAGACTCTGAAGAACCACAGGGAATCTAAATTTCTACAGTTATGGAAACAAATTTGGCAACGTGTAAGAAAAGAGCCTTAATGACATTCATAATTTTGACCCAGGAATTTCTCTCCCAAGAGTCAATTATAAAAGGATTTTTTTAAGATTTTATTTTTAAGTAATCTCTATACCCAACGTGGAGCTCAAACTCACAACCCTAAGACCAAGAGTCACACACGCCACCAGCTGAGCCAGCCAGGCATCCCTTAAGAGGATTTTTTTAATGGAAGATGCGTCTGAACATGCAAAAAAAAATATTATTGTACTGTTATTTATTTATTTTGAAAGCAGAAATAGGCATGTGCTTCAAAATAATCCCAGGATTTAAGCAATGGAAGTGTGCAGAGATAAATATGAAAAATGATTGGCCAGGTGTTGAAAATCATTAAATTTGTGTTATTAAATACATAGGTAGTCATCCTACCACCCTACCTATTTGCTTTTGTATAATTTTGAAATTTTCTACAATAAAAAAATTAAAAGTAGAAATAAAAATTTTCATCAAGAAGATGGTTATGCTTAATTTTATGTGTCAGCTTGGCTAGGCCATGGTACCAAGATAATTCATCAAACATTGATCTTTCTGTGAAGGAATTTTTAAATGAGATTAACATTTAAGTCAGTGAAATTTGAGTAAAGGAGATTACCCTTCATAATATGGGTATGCCTCACCCAATCAGTTGAAGATCTTTGACCTCCTCAAAAGAGGAGGAAATTCTGCCATCATACTGCACTTAAACTGCATATCTTCACTGTGTCTCCAGCCTGCTCACCTACCCTGAAGATTTTGGACTTGCCAACTATCCACTAAGTCTTTAAACTAAATCTCAATGGATGGTAGCTACATAGATAGATGACACACAAATGTTCTGTTCATCCTATTTTTTCTGGAAAACCCTAACGAATACAAAGAGGGATGTCAAATTTTCATGCAACTGGACAATGGACTACTATAAATATATTAATTTTGTGTTCAAGTTCATTAATTTTACGCTCAATTTTACATTCAGCTGAAGTTTTTAATAAATGGCTTTTTTATGTTAGTCGGTAAAGTAATGTAGTCAGATTTAAAATTTATCAGGCCCTAGTTTAATAAAGTTCTAAATTGGCATCCATGTTTTTAACATTATCTCTGTCTGTCTCTGACTCTGTCATTTTGGGCAAGTTTTATCACATCCCTGGGTTTAACTTCTAATCCTTAAAATAATGGATCATAATCCTTGAACCGCCTAATCAGAGACATTCTGGCAAGACAAATAAGATAAAAGATACAACAGGACTTAAAATTTTAGACTAAAAGAAAGTTAATGGATTTCAGAGGTCTAAGGTAGAATTATCGTGTTCCCCCTTTCCCCCTGCCCCCACATGCCTAGGGCCCTTTCTTCTGAAGTATCCTTGCAGCCCACAGTTAGAACTTTTTGATAGTAAATGATTGGGAAATAGGGTTAAGCTGCTGTTAAGTCTTTGGTATTTCAGAAATTTCAGGCCAATTCTACTCATTGTTCCATCATTTGTTGATCATACTTTTTCTTCTCTCATATATTGATGCCAATAATTTTTAAGAAGACAGATTAATGCATATATGAGATGGCCTTTAGAGAAAAACCTGGGATCATATGAACATTAAATAATACTAGTTCTATACTAGCATGGTTATATACTAGCAAGTATAATGAGGCTCTGGCATTAATCTTCACCTTGGCTTCAGCTGCCTTCTGCCCTAGAACTGGTCATATTTTTCTCACCTAGATTATTTCTTAATATCAAGTTCTAGGAGAAATGTAGAATGAAAAGAAAGTATCCTCAGGGCACCTGGGTGGCTCAGTCAGTTAAGCATCTGCCTTCAGCACAGGTAATGACCCTAGAGTCCTGGGATTGAGCCTCATATAGGGCTTTCTGCTCAGCAGGGATTCTGCTTCTCCCACTCCCTCTGCCTCTGTGTATGAGTGCTCTCTTCCTCTCAAATAAATGGATAAAATATTAAAAAAAAAAAAAAAGGATCCTCTGCTCATACAGGCAAAGGGGATATGAGATCTCAGTTACCGCCCTGGGTTAGCCCCATCTTGTGTGTGACCTTACATATGCCAATTAACATCTCTTTGTCAGAGGTTTATATACAAAGCATCATGAAGCATATAACGTAAAAATATAAGGCATTAGAATTATTTATTTAGTATCCAAGAAATGAAAATTATGATCTGAAGCAATGTAACATATATTCACATAGAAGAGAATTCAGAAGTGTAAAACCAAAGGAAAGATGGACAACTTAGTTTTTCTCCATCCTTTTAAGTAAGAAATCTAATACCTTCTACCATCACCTCAAAATGGCTGCATAATCTAGTCCTTCTTTGCTACATGTTGACAGAAAGAATCGGATCTACAGAAAAGTTAGGAAGAGTAAATGCACCCTACAAGGATGCAGAAAGTAGTTTAAAACAAAGGGACGTGAATATTGTTAGAAATACTTGACACAGCCCTGGCTTCTTCATTGTCTTGGGAATAAAAATGTGGCAGTGGCATGAACTTTAAAGATATGCTTGGGGGTACCTGGATGGCTCAGTCCACTAAGCATCCAACTCATGATTTCGGCTCAGCTCATGATCTTAGAGTTATGAAATCGAGTCCCACAACAGGCTCTGCACTCAGCACAGAGTCTGCTTGAGATTCTCTCTCCTTCCCTCTCTCTCTGCCCCTCCCCCTCCACATTCTAAATAAATAAATAAATAAAATCTTGAAACTGCTGTTTGATTTTATTTTGTAATGAAAGAGGTAACAACACCCCAGTAGAGACAGGAAGGGAAGAACAAAGATCCTAAGTTTATTATCTAAATCCAGAGGAAAACCCTCAAAATTTTTGCCTAATATTTATCTAAATTGAACAACAAAAATTTTTAAAGTACTTTTCACCATACCTTTCTCGGGTTCCCTCCTCTAAATGTCTCTCCTAACATAGTTTTAGATCTTTTTCAGGACCCAGGAAAAGTTAAATATAGATACTGTATCTTGGACCCATACTCTCTCTCCCTCCTCTCCCACTGAACTTAGTTTCTTTCCACGAGTCAACACGGAGCAGTGTTCAAACAATAAACCAAGTGAAGCCATCTGCTTTGGACTCTGCCCTGCCGTGCCCTTCCTTAATGGTCATTTATGGGTTAGCACAGCTTCCCGCTCCAGCCTAGTGCATTTGATGGCATGTAGATACAATGACAAATGTTCATATAGTGCTCCCTTTGTGTTAGGTGCTGTTCTAAGCACTTCACATATAGATGAAGAAACTGGGTCACAGAAAGATTAAGTAACTTGCTCCAGATCACACAGCTAGTAACAGGGATTCGGAATTTCCAGGTTGTGTGGCTTTGGAATTTGTTTTCTTACATTATG